TAAGTTGATCTTAATTACCACTTACTGCTTTTTCTTCTTCAATACTATTCATCTTAAATATACCATTTTTAAATATAAATGTAAATCACCCCAAATCCTATCAGAGATAGTGTTCAACATACTTCTTTCTAGTCTTTTTTTCTATGCCTAGTCAATAGTTCTTATATGTTAGAGAACCCATGCTGATAGAGCCTTAAAGAATCCTCAAAACTGCAACCACCACCAGAGAATATTTTTCATTTAATTTATCTAACACTTTTTTTTTTTTCTGGCTGACAATCATCTTTCTTAAGATCTCTATATTTTCATCACCAGCAGTACACTTACATTTAGGGCCCGTATTTACAATGAGAAAGTTTTCAACAGCTCACAGAAGGTACTGCCTCCTCTGGAGTAAGTAAAAAAACCAGTGTCTCAGGAGTGTGGCTCGGCTCACTTCCTAACACACCAGCCTCTGTCCACCCACAACTGGGCCTCGGCAAAGTGAAAAATTATCACATGCCAAAGACCTTCAAAGTTGCTTGGAAATGGTCAAAATAGATTGTAAAGCTCAGAATACCAAGGGTTTATGGAATATAAATATCCAAACACACACACTATATATATAGTTTTTGTGTGTGTGCTTCAGGTATAATCTTATGTCCTGCTTTTTTAAACTCACACTCTAGTATGAACTTTCTACCATGACACTAAATAAAAATATTCACTGCGGCCTTGTTTATACAGGAAAATGGTACAACAACCTCGATATCCAGCATTAAGGGAATGGTTGGGAAAAAATTGCAGCTTTTTAAAAGTGATTTATTCTTATAATCTATAAATTTTGATATAGATATACAATGCTTTTCATACCTCTTACAACTACTTTTTCCTGCTTCGTGACTGTTTAATTTAAAGTGAGGTATAAAAGAAATTTTAATTTAGTTTTCACACTGAACTCTTTAACTTGGCTTCTTCCCAGCATCAATCACTAACCTTTCTTTCCCCTGCTGACTTGGCATATGCTATATACTAATGTATTAGACATCTTAAGATCTATTACGGAAATCCAACCTGTTAGATTAGTCTAGTCTAGTATATCTAGACATTCTTTAACCAAAACTATACTGTTTTGAAAAATTTTTATGGTATATTTTAATATCTTCAATAAAAAATTCATCTTTATTATTCTTCTTTTAAAAATAATAGTTATTCCAGCCTGTTTATTATTTCAGGTCAAACTAGGAATCATTCTGACAAGTTTCAAAAAAAAGCTCACTGTATTTTGACAGTAATGAATGATTAGTAACTAATTCAGGAAGATTTACACATATCACATGTATCCACATATAAGAATGTCTACTTGCATACATGTAATGTTCATTTTTTTCTACTATGACCAAAAATTGTGATCGCTACGATCAGGCAATAAAATATCTAAAAATGAAGAGTTAAAATTATTTTAAGTAGGCAGCAAAGTGATTAGCAGCAAAACAGGTTGGTAGTGCAAAAAACCATCATGCACTAAAATGTTGGAAAGAAATTCCTCTAAAAAAACCTTTGAAGGCCCCCAGGACATTCGTGATGCCCTGGGTTGTGAAAATAAATCACAGCTGAAAGCTGAGGCTTAAAGGTCCCCCACTGACACAGCAGGCAAAGTCACACTATAAGAAGGGAACCTTCAAGTTAACAGATGGGATAATAGGAAGTTCACCCTGGAAGGGGCAACCAGGTTCCTGTCCCTGTCAGGAAGTAATTTTTAAAATGTAACCTTATCATGGTCCAAATTTTAGACATTGTAACTTCATTCACCTAGATGGTAAAACTGCTTCTCTCAGTTGTGTGACTTTAGAAATAAGACTAGAGAATAAAGTAAATCAAACCTGTAACATATTAACACTTAGTAGTTAGATTTTGCACTAAATTTTATAATCATCATAATTACTTGCTACTTGTTACTAAATTATTTGAAACATTTAAGAAAAATCAGACATATTAATGATTAACCTATTAGACTTACAATTTTAATTTGAAATGGTTAAAAAAATAGAAGTTTGAAAGTGTTCATTTAGACCTGACTGCTACATCTATCAGATTACATGAGTTATGTCTTTGGAAAGATTTTACCATCAGGCTTACAAGTTTACCATTTTAGAAGTTTGAAGTATTTGAGAGAAAAAACATATACAACTTTAAATGCAGGGGACCTGAGTGGCTCAGTAGGTTGATCAGGTCTTGATCTCAGAGTAGTGAGTTCAAGACTGGCTCTGGGCTCCACGCCCAAAACAAAACAAAAACAAAACTTAAAAAAAAAACAAGAAAAAAAACTTTAAATGCAGCTTAAAACATTTAAGGGTATTCAACATTGCAAAAAGAGTTCACTGTTTAGCGGAACGTAATTTTTTAAACTGATACCTTAACTGAAGCTTTGTCAAGGGTCAAATATTTTTATTTTTATTTTTATGTAACTACTCTTAGATTTGTTTTTTGTTTTTTTTAAGATTTTATTTACTTGACAGAGAGACAGCGAGAGAGGGAATACAAACAGGGGGAGTGGGAGAGAGAGAAGCAGGCTTCCCGCCGAGCAGGGAGTCAGAGGCAGGGCTCGATCCCAGCACCCTGGAATCATGACCTGAGCGGAAGGCAGATGCTTAACGACTGAGCCACCCAGGCGCCCCCTATTCTTAAATTTGTAATTGGGGGGCGCCTGGGTGGCTCAGTTGGTTCAATGACTCTTGGTTTGGGCTCAGGTCATAATCTCAGGTCCTGAGATCAAGCCCCGCATCCCACTCAGCTTGGAGTTGGCTTGGGATTCTTTCCCCCTTCTACTCCCTCCCCCTCTGCTCCTCTGGACCCTGCTCTTTTCCTCTCTCTCTCAAAATAAATAAAAATATTTTTTAAAAAAATGTGGGAGTAAAACTTAAAAGACTTAAGAAAAACTAGGTATTTAAATACTCAATTTTAACAAGTTGAACATCATTCTAAATAAAAGCACAGTATTGTACACACAAAAACATCCCTCCCAAAAAACCTCAACTGGTGTTATCAAAGAAACACTAGCCTTCTTTTGCATCTTGGTTTATTCCCAGGAATTACACATTTTTTTTCATTATACATCCTCTTAACTGTTGTATTTTCAAACTGATTATCAGTGAAACAGAAAAACTTAATTTTGTATGATTATGTATTCTTTTTTTTTTTTTAAGATTCTTATTTATCTGACAGAGAGACAGCGAGAGAGGGAACACAAGCAGGGGGAGTGGGAGAGGGAGAAGCAGACTCCCCACCAAGCAGGGAGCCCGATGTGGGGCTCGATCCCAGGACCCTGGCTGAAGGCAGAGGCTTAAGGACTGAGCCACCCAGGCACCCCTGTAATTAGTCTCCTTACTGAACTCATTTAATGGCTCCCCCCCCCCCATAGGCTGTCCTGTCATTCCCGGAGATTTTTTTCTTCTTTCTGAAATGTCTCTTATTTTTGTTTCATGTCTTATTGCATTGGCTAGAACTTACAGGATAATATTAAACATATATTCTTTGCCATGCTGTGACTCTCATGGGAATGCCTCTAGGTCCACTGGGATGTTGATTTAAAATTCACATATTTTATCAAACCATTAAAATATCCTTCGATTGCTCAAAAATTAAGAGTTTTAAAATTAGGAACGCGTGTTGAATTTTATGAAATCGTTTCCTGGAATCTTAAATGTGCTTTCAATTACCGGTTTGTCCTTAAGGCAATATAAAACAGTAAATGACAGCTCCTGAAACTAACTGCCGGTACTTTAGGGAAACTGAAATCTAAGAAAAACCAAGCTGCGGACAAGCCAACTCGCTAAACAAATAAACACACACAAAAAAACACTCTTACAACCAAAGTCCCCCTATAACAAAAACACCTACAGGAGATGCGTGAACCTCCGCCACCTTTTCAAGCAGAGGGCGACTCAAGTAAAACTCTAAGTCGACACTTAGACATTGGAGTCTGCAACTGGGATTGGGACCTTTTCAAAAATCGTTATTTTCCACCCGGAGCGTTTGGGCCCTATGCTGAACTGCTGTGAACAGTTCCCCATTCAATGACTTCGTTTTCACGTACTGAAACTACGCGAGCATCTGCCTTCCTGTTGTCTCAACAGCCAGCTCCCAACTTCTCTAAAAGTGTCAAACTACAACAAGGCGTACGTGAGAGCCCGGTCCCGACAAAGACACGCACCTTTGTCCCCGGCGCGACGCAGGCTACGGCCCCGAGGGCCGCACTCGTCCCCCCGCGGCCGTCCTCATGCCGGCCCGGGCGCCCGGGCTGCGGCGCTGCTAGCGGCCGGCCCCCGAGCCATGCCTCCCGGCGGGCGGCCAACCCGCACCGCGGCCCATGGCCGGATCCCCACGCGCCCAGGGGGAGCCTCGCCGGCCGTGCCGCTGCGCCGGCCCCGGAGGAAGTGGAGAGACGCCGGCTCCACGTCGGTCGAGCAGCTCGGGACCTTGGGCAGGCTGCAGTGGCGCCCCGGGAGAACTCGAGGCGGCGGACGCGGGCTCCGAGCCGCTCCCCGGACGCCGGCCGTTAGAAAGCGCGCACCGAAAGACCCGTCCGCCCCCCGGGCGAGGCCACTCAGAGCCCGCCCGGCGCGGGCCCTGGGCGCGAGCGGAGGCTGGCTTCCAGGCCGCGCCGAGGTCCGTCAGGGCAGCTCCCGGTGCGGAGACACGGCCGGCCCCCGCGCAGGAGTAACGGCCGTAACGGAAGCGCAAACGGGAGGGGGCTGGAGGCCAGAGCCCAGGGGCGGGGCGGGCCGCAGGGCCGGCTCCCTCGCGCACTCGAACGGCTACACCGTCGCCGCCACCTCCGCCGCCTCAGACCGCGGGCGCTTCGTTGTCACGAGCCGGAGGGAGGGGGAAGGAGCCGGGAGTCTCCGGGCTCCGGCGCGCCGAGACCGCGGCACCCGGGTCACGTGCCGCTCGGCCGGCCAATGAAATCCTGCGGGCGCGGTGACGTCAGGGCAGCGGCGTGGCCGGTGACAGCCGGCCCCCGTCACGTGGCCGGGCGCACTCCAATGGGCGGCGCCGGGGCGACCTGATGTTCCCGGCGGCCCGTGCGTCGGCGGTGGTTGGGTGGTAAGATGGCGGCTGTGAGTCTGCGGCTCGGCGATTTGGTGTGGTGAGTCCGGGCGGCCAGGGCTAAACGAGGTGCGCCGGGGAGCTCCCCCGCTGGGCGCGGGGTTCACGACCAGCCCCGGAGCTGCCTTTCTATGCGCTCCAGGCTGCGGAGAGAGGGCGAGACGAGGTGCCGGCGCTGGGAGCGACGCCGGGCGGAAGGGGCAGCCCGGCCCCGGGGGACTGAGGGCGAGAGTGGCCGCGGCGGGCCGGGCTCTGAGCCCCAGGGCCGCCCGGGGGAGGGCTTCGCTCCGCACCTGCACGCCGGCGGCCACCGTGAAGGGAGTCTCCGGCGCCGCACAGCTCCCGCGGACGCCGGGTCCTTGGGGTCTTCCTGAGGCTCCCCAGAAAGCGGGAGAGCCGGGGAGCCCGCGGGGCCATCTCGCCTGGGCAAGCCCGTCAAAACTCGCGTTGCGATGGAACCGACCTGTGCGGGCGGCTTGGCTGGGGGTGTCGAAACCGGACTGCTGGCGCTGCCCCGCGAAGAAATGGAAGGGAGACTTCTCCTTTACAGCCGAAGGCTTGGCAGTGACCACTGCCTTCTTGGGTGCCTCTCGTGGTCTGCTTCTGTGTGCCAGACAACCGCCCGAACCAAGACTGACTGTCGCCGCTTCCCTGGAGCGACGTAGCTCACTTCTCGACCCAGAGGAGGGTTTCCATTAGCATTTGTCAAAGCCGGGCTGGTCTCACGGTGAATTAAACCAGACTTTGTAAGGGGAAGTCTGTGTTTACAGAGCAAACTACCCCCCAGCCCCCGTCAAGGGAGGCTCTAGACAAGTGACTCTTGATTGGTTTTGTTGTTCTGTATTCCTTGTCACCAAAAGAATGCACATACCTTATGCACTTTTGTATTCCATTTCTGAAGAGTTTGGGGCTCCTGGGCCCAGCTGTGGAAGCCAGATTAAGAACTACTGTTTGCCAGCTTTTGTTTTGGCACTTGAGGTTGCAGGTGGAGAGTTAGGAAAATAAATTTCATGTTGAGTGGGTTGAAGGAGATGGACTGGCTTTTCTAGGGCAAATGCTGACTGTGTGTTTTCTCTAGGGGGAAACTCGGCCGGTATCCTCCTTGGCCAGGAAAGGTGAGTGTCTTGCTACAAATGGAAGATATCTGAAGTTGAGTTTGAGAAGGTGGAGAATGTAAGATTCACTCCCCTCAATTTCTGGCATTTAGTTAAACTGGACCTATTTAAATAACAGTTTTTCTTTCTCTACTCTCCGTTTATTTAGAAAAGACAATATAATATAAGCCAGATCATTTAATCTGCAGTGAGTGCTAATCTCTTGAATCAGAGATGGTTTTGGTGAAGTTTTTTAATCCTGGAAATCAATTCTAATTTGAATTTAGCTTTACACTTAAATGTAACAAAAGGAGAAGAAAATAAATTCTCCAGGAAGAGAGGAATCTAAATGTAGGTTAGTGAAAAGTCAAAGTATTTTTGTCCCAACTAAGTTTAAATCTTCTTTCCATGTTACCATATGTGCTGCTCCAGTGCATCTTTGCAGAAGTTGGCATTCCAGATTTTGCATGAGGCGATCCGTCATAGCTTTCCAAATGTTCTGTTTTTATATTCTTGCTAGGAGCCCAGGAAATGTCTTTAGACTGTCTCTTTACAATATGGCATTTTCATTGCCTCAGTTGTTCTTCGTTGTCATCATTACCTGTCTCAACTCTTCCTGCACAATTTTTTTTTTAATTGAAGCATAATTGACATACAATGTCGTAGTGGTTTTTAGGTATACAACATATTGATTCAGTAATTCTATACATTACCCAGTGCTTACCACGGTAAGAGTAGTCACCATCTAACATCATTACTTCACTGAAGTATATGTAAAAGTGTTCTCTGCATTTCTTCAGTGATGACAGGGTCACGTGGTTGGGGGAGTTGATGTTGATCTTATGCTTTTAAAACAGAGCCATTGCAGTAGAAGGGATATTCTACCTACTGAACACTGCTACATGGTAGATGTAGGGAACTTCTAGAATATTTGCACATTTCCACACATCTCAGTAGAAAAGCGCCAGACTTGGACATGTACTGCCTGGGTTCTATTTAAGCCTGTTCCTTTTGTTTTATTTCATTTTTTTTCTTACTAACTTAGAAGTGTGGAAAAACCTTTCCCCCCCCTTTACTCCCCAGATTGTTAATCCACCCAAAGACTTGAAGAAACCACGTGGAAAGAAATGCTTCTTTGTGAAGTTTTTTGGAACAGAAGATCAGTGAGTAGTGCTCATCAAGAGTTTCACTTTCCCTTTGGGCGTTGCCCTGGATCTGAGCTGCTTGTGAGAATATTCTAAGGACCCTAGTTCATTTTTACTGTAGTCTGTCAGGCATATTGTTCTGGCTTTATACCTAAATAAAAGGTACTATTCTTAGCTTTTAGAAATTGTCCTGGGGCCAATAACAACTTCAGTCAAGTGAGAAATAGGACTCACTATCTTCTAAATATGATAATCACAATAAGATTATTTCTCACATCTCTTTATCGAATCCCATAGGTAGTTCTTTTTATTGGGGCCATGTTTGGTTCTCTTTTAATGGCTGGTTATCATTGTGGTTCACGTATGAGGTTTACAGTGAAATCAGAACCATTCATTTGAGATTCTGTGATAGACCATGTAGGTCACAGTGAGGAGGAGAATGCGTATTTACCTGAGTTTCCAGTGATTTGTTCAGCTTTCTTGTTATTACATGGATTTAATTACCTGGGTGTAGCTAGATGGTTTAAGTATTTGCATTTCTACTTACGATTTTTAGAGAAAAATGTAGTCTGGGGTTTGAAAAATTTGAGTTTTCTGAGGAATCTAATATCAATGGTTAAAATACATGTTCCTAGAAAGTGATATATGATATTCTATAGCAAAACCTCTTATAAACAGTGTTCTTCACTCATTCAGGAGTTTATATGCCAGAGTGCTCAGCCTGGATTAGAGGGGTTTTTTTGTTTGTTTTGTTTTTGTTTTTTAAATATTTTATTATTTATTTGACAGAGAGAAAGAGACCGAGCATGCACAAGGGAGCACAAGCAGGGGGAGAGGGAGAAGGAGAAGCAGGCTCCCCACTGAGCAGAGAGCCTGATAAGGGGCTCCATCCCAGAACCCTGGGATAATGACCTGAGCTGAAGGAGACACTTAATGGACTGAGCCACTCAGGCACCCCCTGGGTTAGAGTTTAAATGGCATGTTTATCTTCACCATGCAGGTATACCAATATACCCAGTTCTCTGTCACAAAACAACTTAGCAGCCTTTTGATGACAGTACTCAAGGGATTCACTGGCCCAGAGCTGTGAGAGCCAGAGACACTCTGGAAGCTAGAATGTTCTGGTAATGCCACTGACTTTACAAGAAAGATTGTCCTGGTATATAACACAAGTGCTAATTGTACAGCCACACTTCGAATTGTTGACACCAAAAGGAACTTCCAGAGAAAAGCAAATGTTGTGGTCCTTGCCTTTCAGGAATTCAGGTGACAAGACATAAACAGTTCAGATGGGAATAAGTGCAGAGTAAGTGATACAGGTGACTATTAAAGCGTTCTAGAACAAGGAGAGATCAGTGGGGAACAGTCAGGTCATAGAAGGGTGATGGAAGGGGTGCCTGGGTGGCTCAGTCATTAAGCGTCTGCCTTCAGCTCAGAATCATGATCCCAGAGTCCTGGGATCGAGCCCCACATTGGGCTCCCTGCTCAGCGGGAAGCCTGCTTCTCCCTCTCCCACTCCCTCTCCTGTATTCCCGCTCTTGCTGTGCCTCTCTCTGTCAAATAAATAAATAATCTTTTAAAAAGGTGGGGGAGGCGCCTGGGTGGCTCAGTCGTTAAGCGTCTGCCTTCAGCTCAGGTCATGATCCCAGGGTCCTGGGATCGAGCTCCACATCAAAAAAAAAAAAAAAAAGGGTGACGGAAGAGATGGAGTTAGAATCTACCTCTGGAGGACAGATAGAATTTGAATTGACAGGAAGAAGAAGGGCAGTGCAGGCAGTGGGAATACTGTGAGCAACTGGGTGTTAAGTTGGATGCGTGGGCAGAGAGAGCCTCCCCACCTGGGGTAAAGAACTGTGCTTGAGAATAACAGGCAATATGGTTGACCCAATTTGGTTAGCTAAACAAAGATGTACAAGTCTAAAACAAAAGTGGAAACTCTTGGGAAGTAGGGGCTTGATCAGATTACAGGAGGCCTGAAAGCCATTGTGTTCTTATAATTTAAAAAAATGCCAGAAGGTCAGAAGAGTAAACGGATGCCTATGTATAAAAAATACTACAGGTGAGACAGGAAATTGGAGTTGAGTGCATTTCAGTACTTAATCAGGTACACAAGTGAAGCCAATGAAAGGGATGCACTTATTGAACACAAAAATAACCTAATGGTGTTAGTAGTGGTGGTGGTGGTGATGTGATTTCTAACTAAAATTCTTTGAGGGGATTCATAAGCAAGTGGATTTGGGGCAACTGTTAGATATAATATCTTTAAGCTTATAAAACTCCCTTGGTAGAATTCCACATAAAAACTTATTAAAAAATAAGTTGTCACAGGACCAACACATTATCTTTTTGTGGCTAGGCGGTTGACAATGAAAGGAAATGGGTAAGGATCTCCAGGCACTTCTCTGAAGGGAGAAGGGTTCTTAGTGATCAGTGATGAGCAGACATTATTTACTATCTTTAAATTATGTGAAGGTGAAGTATCCAGGGAATTACTTTGAGGAAAGAACTCTGGATTTGATGCTGGCCTGCTGTGCATTCAGATGCCATCTCACTGCCCTACAATTTGGGCAAGCTGTTTTCACCTTTCTAAGCCTTTGTGTCCTTGCCCACATGTGGGATGATGTTCCCTGCCTCGTAGTTATGCAGGAGAAATAGTGCCACTTGTTCGTAGGGTGGTGTGGTATACAGCAGGGGTTCAGTAAACTTCAGGTGGACATATATATATATTACAAGGGAGAGAATAGCTGGTAAGAAGCAGGTGGCTTTAAATAAGGGAAACTTAGAGAGGATTTGTTTGAAAAAGGAAGGCATTTGTATTGGAAATTCCTAAAGACTTCAGCCAGGTCTGTTTTTTTGTTTTATTTTGCTTTTTTGTTTTTTAAGATTTTATTTATTTATTTGAGCATAAGCAGGGAGGAGAGGGAGAAGCAGGCTCCCCACTGAGTGGGGAGCCAGACACGGGGCTTGATCCCAGGACTCTGGGATCATGACCTGAGCCCAAGGCAGACGCTTAACTGATTGAGCCACCCAGGGGCCCCCAGGTCTTTTCTTTTGACCAAAAAGGCTTCAAACACAAAACAGTAAATTGTTCCACGTTTTTTTTTTTTTTTCAATTGTTCTATCTTTATGGAAAAACTATGCTGTGCCTTGCCAGGAGTGCTATGTGCAGTTGAGTCCATGCTCCCAAAGGGATCTGATGGAACTAATTAAGATCAGAAAAGGGGACCAAGTCAGATCAAAGAGTAGGATTCTTTAATGTGAAAAAGTAAAGTCTGAAAAAGAGCACAATCAGAATTGATGAAATGCTGAATGACCCTAAGGAGGTAAACACTGACCTGTTCATAAATCATCAGACATTTCCGATAGCGGCACTGTGAGTAGAACAAATGCTGTGGTGACCAAGTTTAGGGCATGCGTAAGAAGTACTTTAGGAAACAGACTTTTGAGAAGCGCTTTAGATGGGAAGTACAAGTGGACTTTTAGAGATGAGTACTGCTTTGTGAAGGGTAAGGCTATAGGTGGTTCCAGAAGAAACTGGGCTCTACCTCACCTTTGGTGCTTGATATAAGGGAGAGGGGCATATGCTCCTTGCACATGTTAGTTACGAGGCTCTGACTTTGGTGGATAGGGCCTGACCCCATGGGGCTGCTCCTGAATTTCTGAGCAATATAGGATTCAGTCAGAGACGTTCCTTTTCAAAACTGAACACTATGTATGGGGGAAAATATTTATAAATAAGATTTCTTTAATATTAGCAGGGATCTTTATTAAAGAGTGAAAAGGGTAGTTCCTTAAGATAAAGAATTCAGTGGCTCAGTCAGTTAAGCCCAGGTCGTGATCCGAGCACGGAGCCTGTTTCTCCCTTTCCCCGACTTGTACTCTCTCTCTCTTATAAATAAATAAAATCTTAAAAAAAAAAAAAAGAAAGATAAAGATTTCAGTCTTCGAGAAAACTAGTTTTTCTCTCTCCCTTCCTCTGTCAAAACATCTGACAAATTGTGTTGATGTTCTGTTAGAAAGAGAGAAGACCAGACCTTCCTAACCGATGTCCTGTCCAGCCAACCCTGGAAGGGGAAGGACTTAGTAAGATGGCTGGATTCAGCTGTCTGAGCCTGGATGGCCAGTATGGGGGTTACTTATGGTTGTTTTCTATTTCATGGAGATACAAAGGGAAAAATAACTTTAGCATAACTTGGACTACTCTGCCAGGTGACTCCACCCACAGTTGTGGTCTCAGGCACATGAGAGCTCACCTTGGACAGGGAGTTACCCATCAGAATAGAAACTGAGCTCGGGGTTTGAAGTTTTCATCAGTGGCCATGGATGGCAGAATGGAGGGAGCTCATTTAGTCTGTGGGTGTTCAAAAACGCTCAGAGACAAACGGTTCAAGAGAACACTACTGGCAAAAGAGGGTAGATCCCAAATGACCACCTGAGAGTTTCTGTAGCAGTCTTCATACCTGATCCTACAACAGCCATTTCGGGAAATGGATAGGATATTTGTTCTGGTTCTCACTTTTTAACAGATTTGTACACTGAGAGGCAGGAGATTTGTGGAGTTCAGTGATAGAATGTCCAGGATCCCAACCTGAAATACTTTTTTCATCAAGGCAGATATAAGGTATGAAGTGAGTACTAAAGTAACTCTTGGAGAAGAACCTGTAGCTTGTAATTACAAGCAGATTGGAGCCATCCGAGCATCCCTCTTTCTTTTCACCTGGCACCTGATCGCCCTGCTTTCCCTACATCCAACACTGTGCAATAGCTGGAGAACGGAGCCAAATGGATGGTGAGCGCGCTGCTATTTGGACTGAGCCAGCAATGTCCCTCTGCCAGGGCTGGACAATACCTGTCCTAGAGAGCACTGAGTAGATTTTCCTCTCCCAGCACCAGCATCCATCCTACGGGTGACTCCCCTCATGGCTGAGACAGTGGACTCCAGGAGCAGGTGTGTCATGCACCAGAATTAAAGAATCTGGCACAAAAGAAGCAGCTGACCATATTGGCATAGACAGCGCAGCTTGAAAGCCTTCTCCAGCATTTGGGAATGTTTTCAAGTTTTGAAAAGAGAATCTTCTAAATCTATTTTATCTGCAAGTCTTTGTTGATGTCTGTATGATAATCATTGCTTGAGATTAACTGACAAACTCTTATTTTCTTTGTGGCTTTTTTTTTGGTTGTTTTGTTTTTTGATTTGTGGGTTTTTGGGTGTCTTGATTTATGAACAGCTTAGACTTGTAGCTGTAACAACTCAGTAATCTTCAGCCTCTTTCGGTGGTTTTAAAGCAGGGCAAACATACAAATCATTTGCTCAGTACTACTCAAATCTAGATGGAAAAGCAACTCATGTCTTCTGTCCCCGTCTTTGTTCTCACCTTTGGACTGTGCTGACACGTGTGTGTTCTCCCTCCCACCCCCACCCAGGTCATTGTGTCATGCAAAGTCTGAGACACATACGTGAGAGTTTTGGAGATTATTCGTAGACCCACATGTTTAATATGATGTGTACATGGTATGATTTTAACCTAAGGGGAAAGCAGGTCAGAATTATGGAAGTTTTTGAAAATGTGAGGTGTTTAATTTCATTTTGAGTGGAGTGTGTAATCTGAGAGTGGCTTATAGTGGAAAGTTTATATTCGCAAATGAAAAGAATTTACAGGAGGTGTATCAGAATACCAGGGTAAGTTTGCTGCTCCTGGCTGTGTTACAGGTGCAGTTACACCTGCAACCAGGCAGTAGCTACCCACCTGAGGAAGTCATGGGAGCAGCCCTCTGGGTAGAGCAGCCCATGTTCTATAGCAGAGACCTTTATTGTTGATTTGTTGTTTCTTAAAGATAATACATGTTTATGGCACCTCCCCCCCAAATTAAGCTATGAACTGTGAAACAGTTCCATTCATTCCTATCCCTCAGCCACCCAGTTACCAGCCCTTGGGCATCCAGTTATACTAGCTTCTTTTTTTTTTTTTTTTTTTAAAGATTTTATTTATTTATTTGACAGAGAGAGAGACAGCAAGAGAGGGAACACAAGCAGGGGGAGTGGGAGAGGGAGGAGCAGGCTCCCCGCTGAACGGAGAGCCCGATGCGGGGCTCGATCCCAGGACTCTGGGATCATGACCTGAGCCGAAGGCAGACGCTTAACAACTGAGCCACCCAGGCGCCCTTATACTAGCTTCTTATGGCATGTCCCTCCAAAGATACTGTGGGCAGAATCAAGAAATTACATATTCCTTTTTCCTTGTTTTTACACAAGTGATAATGTAGTTCACACACTGCTCTGCATCTTGCTTTCTTCCACTTAACCAGGTATCTTAAGGGACCTTCCATTTTGTTCTTTGTAATGACATCACTGATTGCCACTACAAACAATGGGATTTACTTCCTTGTACGTAAAAGCAAAGGCCCATATTTTACACACCACTTGACTAAGCTTGATTTTTTACTCCCAGCCCAATAGCAAATTAGGTAGAAAAGATCCAGCTCCTTTCAGGCATCAGGAGGATGATAAGAAGGAAATCATAAGTCGCAGCTCATATCACAGAAACAGAAGTCACCTAAAAAAATAATAACAAACGGGGGCACCTGGGTGGCTCAGTCGGTTAAACGTCCCGACTCTTGATCGCAGCTCAAATCTCAATCTCAGGGTCATGATAAAACAGAAACAAAAATGTACAGGCAACAGCAACAACCAGAAAAGGCCACCAAAGCCTTAGAACATTTAACCCAGGGGCCATCATTCCAGCCCCTCTGAATATGCTTGGAAGGCATCATTTACTCAGTGATTATTTATTGAGCACCAGTTGCATACCAGGCCCAGCTGATGGGCCTCAGTGAGAATGGTGCATTATTGAAGCCCTGGCTGAAAAGCATACTCTTTAAGGAGACAGGGTTTTGCAATATAGCCTTTAGAGAAAAAACTCTATTCGGAAGGCTAAAGTGATTTCAATTTGGCTCGATTTCAAGAGGTAATCCAACTAGGGCTCTGGTGGGCTGGCTTTTTTTTTTTTTTTTTAAGATTTTATTTATTTATTTGAGAGAGAGAATGAGAGAGAGAGAGCACATGAGAGGGGGGAGGGTCAGAGGGAGAAGCAGACTCCCTGCTGAGCAGGGAGCCCGATGCGGGACTTGATCCCGGGACTCCGGGATCATGACCTGAGCCGAAGGCAGTTGCTTAACCAACTGAGCCACCCAGGCGCCCTGGGCTGGCTTTTTATTTACAGTTTTACAGTGCTTCAACAATAGGCTGATTTCTTAACTAGATTAATATTTCTTGGATTTATCCTCTTGATATTTATACTGTCCATTCTTTTAGCAAACCATTTTCACTTTTCAAAAATGGTCAGAGAGGAAAATTTCATTTTAGGATGCAAATGCCAGAATGGAATTTTGACTGTACCATTCTTCTGGCAGAAATCAGTAATCCACTTAAAATGCTTCAATGGAAAAATGGGCATGGATTATTGGTGCTTCCTCCACACATGTCCTTACCTCTCCACTTCCTCTGGTTCATGTGGGGAGAGAAAGGCAGGGATTAGTATGCCTAGAGTGTATTGTCCCATCTCAGGAAGCTCCATAAAACCACACCATTGATCTTACACCAAAACTTGTGTGGGTCTCAGCTTCTAACCTGAAGCCCAGAGAAGGAAGAGGCATGTCCAGAGCACGTGGCCCTTTAAGCCTTATCGCTGGTATTTGCGTCATCTCAGTAGGACAGCTTAACCTGCTTTTCAGGGCATGTGTGGCTTTGCATCTGCTCTGGTGGTCTGTCCTTAGAAACACTAAATGGGAGGAGAAGCAGGAGGGTCCATTCAGTGGTGTACCTGCCAGGCAATGTAAGGTCAAAATATAATTCCGTTTTTCTTCCCCATAGAATAGACCAATTCATTCTATCATAGCAAGTCTCAGACTTTAAGATGAGTTAGTCACTGGAAGGTACCTGCTTACCTCACCTGGTTGGAACTTTATGCAGTGAGACAGCATCTGAGTCTTTGTTCATCGTTCAGTTCTCTGTGGCTTTGTTTAGCCATAGATAACATGCTTAGTCCTGGTTTGCTATCACATTTATAGGCTGATAGTCCTACGGCTATTGTGTTTGTACAGATCCATGGTCACGATTATTAGCATAACACTTAAATCATAGGTGGCTGTAGGTGGGTTGGCTAAACTATTTTTATGTAGAGATTAGCACTTGTTTTTTTTTTTAAATGGGCTCCATTCCGAGTGTGGAGCCCAGTGTAGGGCTTAAACTCACCATCTTGAAATCAAGACCTGAGTTGAGATCAAGAGTTGGACGCTTAACTAATTCACCCAGGCGCCCCACATTTTTACTATTATTAGTGAATATTCTCCAGTTATCTCTAAAGGAGAGGACCCTAGGTTAGTGGGATAGCTCAGTTTCTCTATCCTTAACCTGACCCCTTTTTTCAGAAGGTTATGCTATGAGACTTGTGAGTATTACATAGTAAAAATGTATATAAATTAGCTGTTACCTCGCCAAGCCTATAAAATCCTCTCCTTTGTACTGGGACGCTGAATGTCATTTAGAAAAACCACAGGAAGCCAGCTGGGGCAGATTTGTTCAAGTCAGTCTGGTAGGCCAGATATTCCAGAATTGACAAGTGATGGCTTTTTTACTTGCATGTGTTACACATTGATGGTAGGAATTAAAAAATAAACATCATAAGGGTATGTTGTACCTTTAATCACAAGCAGAATCTTGTTTCTAAAGACCTCCTATTACAACTGCTGGCCTAATTCCAAATCATGTGTCACTTGTTTTGTGTGGTTTAGTAGCCACAGACAGGATCATTTATCAACAAATATCGCAAAGAGGAGCAGATTTCACATGCTGCATTTCTTGAGCCATGGGTGCATCCCTGATTCTCAGTTGATGACAGATTGTCATTCTGGTTTGGGTGTTGACTGGGCAGTGATGTTGCTGTGGTCGATTATGCTTCCTGATGCCCTCGGTCCATGAGGGGCCCCTGTGATGAGAATGGAAGAACATCGCCAGGCTACCCCTGCCCTGCACAAGTGGCAGGCGATGTGTGGTTTAGTGTGGAAGGCTGGTGAACGAGAATGGACATAAATAGCCTGCAACTTGTGGAGGATATTCTGGTTTTGGTGGTGGTGGTTGTGCTTGACTTGTTTCAGGAAGACATACTTTTATAATACCCCAAGAGTTTGGGGTGGGTGGTAACATGTTTTGAAAAAATGGCAGGCCTGGTTCAAAGTCCAGTTAAACCAAACGGATATTTGCATTCTGTTGTGATGAGGTAATTGATAATTTATGGCATGGGCAGTGTGGATCATACCCTTTCTGTATGTGTTTTCTGCTAGTGCGTGGATCAAAGTGGAACAGCTAAAGCCATACCATGCGCACAAGGAGGAAATGATCAAGATCAACAAGGGGAAACGATTCCAGCAGGCTGTGGATGCTGTTGAAGAGTTCCTCCGGAGAGCCAAAGGGAAAGACCAGGTGAGAGACTGATTCTTGCTTTATTCCAGCATCTAACTGGTTATTTTGGCGTAGTAACTAACAGATTAAATATGGCCCAAACCCAAACTCTATTCTTATGCCATGCCAATGGCGAGAACACTACTTCAGTTCTAGGGTATCCGCATTTGGCTTATCAGCTTGAAACTCCATGCATGCGGCAGACTTTTCTGAAATAGATTGCTCTTCTTAGGAAAGTCACTTGGACTCAGGAGAAGTATCTCAGCTTTTGAGTACAACACAGGCATTTCTCCCTTTGACATCCTAGAGATTAGGAGTGTTCTTGGGTATATCCACTGCCTGGGTGTAAATCCCACTTCTTAGCTTTGGGTACAGGCAAGTGATTTGACTTTACCTGCTTCCCCAAGTATCAGTGGAAGCAATAGCAGAACCTATTTCATAGGGTTGTTGTGTGGATAGCACATGTAAAGCGCTTCTCCTAGGGTGTGGCTTGTGTAAGTGGCGGTGGTGGCGGCAGTGGCTGCTGTGGTGGCTATCATTGTTATTATTAAACTTTCAGACATCGTCCCACAATTCTGCTGATGACAAGAATCGGCGTAATTCCAGTGAGGAGAGAAGTAGGCCAAACTCAGGTGATGAGAAGCGGAAGCTTAGCCTGTCTGAAGGGAAGGTGAAGAAGAACATGGGAGAAGGAAAGAAGAGGGTGTCTTCAGGCTCTTCAGAGAGAGGCTCCAAGTCCCCTCTGAAAAGAGCCCAAGAGCAAAGTCCCCGAAAACGGGGTCGGCCCCCAAAGGATGAGAAGGTTTGTTTTACCTCTGCAGCTTCCGGGATTAGTGACTTCCTTCTGTCTGTGAAAGAGTTGAGCTCTACAGTGCCTCGGCTCACTGAGTGGACGTAGAAACCTGTGCTAAGCGCTGCCCTAAAGAATCCTGCAGACCAGGGGAGGGACTCAGCCTGGGGGCACAGGCATGAAATAGGAACACAAGGCAGCAAAGGATTTCTCATTCAACTAAATGGTCGAGGCAGGAGAACAGTCCACCTGAGCCAGCATGCAAGGGCTGGCACGGGAAGGGGCTTAAGGAAGAGGGGAAGGCATTCCAGAGACAGAGGGCCCAGCCTGTGTAGGGCTTGATGTTGGCGTGGATATTCTCATTATAGGTAGAGGACAAGGAGAAGAGCAGAGAGCTAAAAGTGGGTTGTCACTGGATTGTGGAGGGCCGCGAGGTCTACTGAAGCAGTATTTACTGTCATGGGTCCATAGGGGGCCACAGACTTGTTGGGGCTGGGTGTCAGGGTGGTGGAGTGCTCCAAGCTGCATGTTAGCAATGGTGGAGGGCAGAGAAAAAGGCTAAAGCTGGTCAGAAAGCTAAACCCAGGTTTGCATTTATATACAAGGAGCTATCCTGATAGCAAATACTGAAAAGAACTGCCTGAGAGGCACTTCAGAGGAAGGGCTCATAAGATTTAGCAACGGGTTACAGAGGAAGGGGGGAGGGAGATGATTTCAGGTTTTTGTTTGGAAAATGGTAATAACTTTCTCAAGAGCAAGAGTCAGGAGTAGGGTTGGCGAACGGAGCAAGAGGACTAGATCTGTCTTGAATGTGATGAATTTGAGGTGATGCCAAGGCTATTAGGGAGACTTGAACTAATGTCGGGATGGAATGTAGATGCGGGAGGCAAATATGTAGAAGTATGTTGGAGAATACATACAAAGTATATCTGAGGCCCAGTGGGATTGGTCTCCAGAGAAAGTAAGGAGGGCGCAGAGTGAAGGGCAGGATTCTGCTTCGCAGGGAAAATACCCGTACGTCAGAGTTGGAAGGATTCGGAGGAGCCATCACAGTGAAATAAAGTGGAAATAACGTAACTTTCACCTTCCTGAGAAGATGTAGGTCAAGTCTCAAAAGCCAAGGGAAGAGGATTCGAGATGGAGGGGGTAGTCTGTGAAAACACAGGGGAGAACTGTTAGAGCACAGTCAAGGGGACAGGAGCCAGATGGCTGGCAGAAACAGTTGGGTGATAAGGCCTTGACAAAACACTAGACCACATCAGATCACGGCCTGCAAATTCAGACACCAGCGAGACCAGACAGGTCATGGCAGCAAGGGGAGGCTGGCTGAGGGTTTGCAGCCCTGACCTGCCTCCACACTGAGAGCACTAGGGGTGGCAGCAGCTGGTGCTCTGGGGAAGTCATTGCTCTGTCCATGGGGTCCCAGCCAACTTTTGCCAGGTCGTCTGGTTTTTCCTCTAGAGAAGGTAGAAATACTGATTTTTATGTGTAACATTCCAATTTTATGTGTTACACGCTAATTCAAAATTTTAAAATACTTTTAGGTCCAAGGAACATCTCTGGGCCAGATTGAGCCTGTGGGCTGCCACTCTGTGACCACTGTGTTAGAGAAAGTCCTTCTCACTGTCAGACAACCTGGGACTGAGAGTAGACAGAGTGACTAGCGGTCAGGACAGCCCTGGCTGACGGTGAGCACAGGGAACTGCCAGCCAGAGGTGGAGAAGGTGGAGAAAACAGCTAGCTGTGGTGCAGAAAGAACTTTCAGGGGGTGTGTTCTAATTTGATCCAATTGAATTGATTTCCTGGGGATCCAGAGGCATCTGAGCTGTCAGGTTTTATACTGTTCTCCAAATTCCTATTTTCTGCTTTCTAAAGCCGTGGATCTCACCAACTCCGTGCTGGCCCTGCAGAGAAACGACATCTTTTTGGAAAAAGAGAAGTGTGCAGGAGAGGTGAGGAGGAGGTCTGAGTCGGAACTGTGACTCCGTAACTTGCTGCAGCTGTGTGGCCTTGGCCAACTTCCTTTGCCTTGGTTTCCTCATCTGATCATTGGGAATAATAGTGATACCTGTCTCTCAGGTTTGTCGTGAGAATTAAATGAGTAACAAGAGCAAAGCATCAAGAACAGTGTGCTGTGCACCACGCATTTGAAAAATGGCTTTATGTTTGTCAGTGTCTGGCAGGAGCCTGTTGTGCAGCGAGAGCATAGTGGCTTTAGTGTCACCCGAGGCCGCCACCGGGCTTTACTGCAGGGACTCTTCTCACAGGCTCCCAGGGAAAAGCAGTTTGCCCTTGAATCTGAATTATTAATCAGGGGATAGTAACATTTCTGCTGCCGTTCTTGGAGTCAGGTCCCCTGCCAAGAGGTCTACTTGCTCTTTACCCTTAGCGCAATGCTTCCTACAGTCTCCTTGCTTGGCCAGCCTCTAGTGAAGGATTTGTCAGCTGGAGAGGAAGGAGTATGGTTAGTGGTGCAGGGCGGACACAGCCCTTTCAGTTCAGACAGTTGGTTTTAATTAAGCACCTTCAGAGATGTAGGGAATCTGGGCTTGGAATTTTGGTGCATCTTCTGATCTAATAGGTCCTGCGGTCTAAAAAGAGTGTGTGTTGCTACAGTAATGACTTCTTTCTGAAACAGCAGTAGCCTAGGCTGATAACTGGGCAAAGTCTCGGATGATAGCCATTCGGAGCCATAATCCCCTGTCCTGTGAGGATTAGTGGAAAAGGCTGACCTTTTGACGCAGAGGCGTCAGTTGCGTGCATACAGGGAAAGGCTGGGTTCGTGCCTCAACTGTGGTGTGAGAGGTGTGCCCTCATCCTCTCTCAGGGGCTCTCATTTCCAAGTCCTGGGCTGAGAAGAACTGCAGCTTTGGGCACACAGCACCCTGACAGCACAGAGCCCTCAGGGCTGTGGCTCTCCTCAAATCCCCGAGTGGTTCAGGCACTGCTGACTGGGAGTCGAGGCCTTCCGCTGGTGCCAGATGGAGAGCCAGTGTCTCCACCCCACTCTCCTATCCTGAGACCTTAAGCAGGTCACTAGAGCTGTGCTGCCCCTAGCCACAGGGGACAGATACAGAACATGTCCATCGCGGCAGGACGTTCTTGGGACACTTCTACACTAGGCCTCTTTTTTCCCCATATCTCTTTGTTCAGCACGTGTTGATTGAGCAGCCCCACATAAGCCAGATGTCTAGTGATAAAGCAGCATGATAGTTAGACCAGGCCCCTCTCATGTTCACTTCTTCAGTAAATAGCGAGCATCTCCTCTGTGCCAGGCATGGCTCCCTGCGTGGGATACAGAGTAAACAAAATTGGCAGAGGTCTTGCTTTCATAGAACTCACTTATAATCACATCAGCATCACATAGAAAGATACAGAGGGGTCAGGGAAAGCACCCCAATAAGGTGACATTTCCGCGGAGACCTGAAGTGAGCATGTGAGCCAAGCAGATAACTGTTGGAAGAGCATTCCCAGTAGTGCAAAGGCAAATGCTTGGTGTGTTTGGGGAATGGCTGGAGGGCCAAGGCGGTGCTGGTGAGTTAGAGAGTGGTGAGGGGGAGAAAATATAATAGGATATGAATTCAGAGAGTAGGGTGGAGTTGAGGGGTTGTAGAACTTATAGTGCCCCATAGGCCTGACTGTGTGAGACAGGAAGCCAGTTGTAGGCAGAGAAGTGGCCTACTCCACTCTAGCTCCTGTGCCCAGTCTAGACTGCAGGGTTCCAGAACGGAAGCAGAGGGGGATCCCTTTTGCTACAGTCCAAGTGGCAGGGGATGGCAAAAAAAGGGGTCACCGATCCGCAGTTGTAAAACCATAATCATTGCTACCAGGTAAGGGGAGGGTGGAATCAAGAAGGACTGCAAAGATCTCAGCCTGGTAGAACGGAGCTGCTTTTCTAAGACTGCGAAGACTGTGGAAGGCACCGTTGGGGCAGGGAGATCCCAGAGTTCAGTGGGATGTTCAAGATTCCCCTGAGATACCCAAGTAGAAATGTCAGGAGGGCCACCGTGGCTGGAAGATCCCACATGTGGAAAGGGAGTGTGAGGTGAACTTGGTGGAGGGGATAAGAGCACAGCTGAAGCAGCATCCTGCCCAGGATGGGTGTGGGCAAGGCTGTTGGTGGGGAGGTACGCTCCGTTTCACTGGGTCCTGCCCTTGCATCAGCCTGGAGAGGGAGTGGAGCTCTTGGCTCCCAGTTGCCCTGGATTGGAAGTCTGGCTTTGTCACTTAGTAGCTTAGTAGTTAAAACGCTGGGCACATTTCCTCATCAGCACCATGTGGCTTTCTTAGGTTTGTTTGTTTTTTTTTTTTTTTTTGAGATTCTCTCTGAAGCCAGTACTGTTTTCTTAATGTTCATTATTGGCCATAAAGAATCTTCTCTGTGACTTGCTAACAACATTGCACACCATAGTTGGGATTTCCAGAGACATCTGTCCTTGTGAAACTTGGGCACAAGAAGACAATTTGTTATTTCAAGAACAGAGAAGAAAGCCTTGCTCCATGTTGATGAGAACTTGCCTGGTTTCTCCCGATGGACAGTCAGAACCGTGCCTGGGGACTTAGGCTGAGACTGGAGTTGGCTAGGGGGTTCGTTTGAGGTGGAATGTAACTGAAGGAAGCGAAGCAGGATTTGGCGATTTGGCGCAGGAAGACATCTGCTACTGAGGTGGCCTCAGTGTCTTGACCATCTGCCTTTCCCTCTGTAGGATCTCACCATCCCTGAGTCTAGTACCGTGAAGGGGGTGATGGCTGGACCGATGGCCGCGTTTAAATGGCAGCCGACCGTGAGCGAGGTAACAAGCTCTCCCGCAGGCCAGGATAAGCCCAGCCTCCAAGCTGGTTTCCTGGCCTGTGTGAGGCGCTTTTCCTTTCCCCATTCTTTAAATTGCAAGAAAGTACTGAGGTGTTTGAGGGGGAAAAGTGCAAGTCTCCACCCTCATGGGTGCTCAGTTTCATGTTCAATATAACTTCTTCCAGACCCTTTGCTACAACCCCCATTCACTCATCATTTATAGAATTATATACCCACATGGGGTTTCTGTTGTTGGAAATAGGGTTGGTTTTCATAAACACAGGATTGGCCCACACATTTTTTTACTTAATGCTTTATAGACACCTTTCACTGTTCACATATACAACTCTGCTGTTCAGTAGCCCCTTGGAGTGGATGCCCCAGTCCCCTGTTGTGCCTAATTGTGAAAGCCCTTGAAAGTGCTACACTCATTGCCCTGCATTTCTGTTTATATCGATCCTCCGTGAGACAAGACACTCAGGGGTCTGGCACCAGACACCGTAGGTAAAACCCTAGAATTGGGAGAGTGCTGAGAATTGATTTGGCCTCGCCTAGTCAGTTATCCAAAGGGACTGGTAAATGCTGCATTTTAAAAATACCAGTATACCTCTTAAATATTTTCCTGCAGTGTTACTAGAATAATTTTTATGCCACCCTGACAGAACTGTCTCTTCTTTTCCATTTGTAGCCAGTTTCCCTCTAGCTGGAGCAGGGACTGTTTATAAAAGACTTAGACCAACAATGGGAAAGGGCTTCCAGGCAGTTATATAGTCGAGACCAGCTGCCAGGGGTGTTTCAGCCAGAGGAGAGTCAGTTACCAGGCAAGGTGACCTCTAATAGAAGATAAGTTGTTTTATTGAATCATTTTCTGGTTTCAGCCTGTGAAAGATGCAGACCCTCATTTCCATCATTTCCTGCTCAGCCAAACTGAGAAGGTGAGTCGGTCTTCTACATTTTTGATCCTTGGTCAGGGGCTGGCCTAAAGGGAGAAGGTGGCTCCATCAAACCTCACCCTACTAGTCTGAAAGGTTAGGCTCTGCTTCTACCACTGCCCAGAGCAACTAGATAGAAAGTCACATGGAGGCCCACTCGTGACTCAGATGTTGTTACAGTTAAAAGTAAACCCCCCCCGCCCCCCAAAAATTTAAGGCTCAGCAGCTGTGTGGTTGAGACATTTGTGAGTCTGGGGCAGTAGCCAGACCTTGTGAGCTATCCACATTCATGAGGTAGCCCTTGCTGTTTGGTGGATGCATTCTCAGGCTTGCTATGCAAGCAGTCTCTCTAAACCATCGGGTTGTGGAGGGCAAGCTTCCCAGAGTATCTGCAAGGCCATGAGTTAGGCTGAACCTTGATATAGGACCTGATAGGCTGTGGCTTTGGAGTTGGACAGATCTGGGTTGCAAGCCCAGTTACACTGAGTAGACTTGTAACTCTGAGTGTATGACTTCATGAATCTGATCCTTAATGTCATCATGGGCAAAAGAATCTTGCAGATTGGCATAGATATTTAAGTGAAGTAGTTTGTGTTACCTTTCTGATGTGTCCTTTGGAGTTCAGTAAAGTCGAACAGCAAATAGGTTTCAGTGTTAACACCACACTTTAGGCCTAACCTCTTAGGGAAATTATAACGAAGACCAGTTAAGCGTTCAGTTTAATACATGGTCTTTTTCCCTCCTTTATTAGCCAGCTGTCTGTTACCAGGCAATCACAAAGAAGTTGAAAATATGTGAAGAGGTATGTAGGTTCCATGCCTCCCTATTTTTCTCTTCCACTGGGGCCCTTGCCATGGGCAGACTGACCTGATGAGCTGTGCTTCCTTTCCCTAGGAAACTGGGTCCACCTCCATCCAGGCAGCAGACAGCACGGCCGTGAATGGCAGCATCACACCCACAGACAAAAAGTAGGACCTTTGAAGAAGAAAAGGCTTCTTGTGGCTCTAGTTCTGTTAGGGAATAGGGGATGACCCCCAGGGGGCTCTTTAAGGGTTGTATCCCAGCCATTGGTGGGACTGAATGGAAAGAGAGAGGGAAAGTTGTAATTTTTAGTGAGTTTCCTGGAATTAATTTGACCTGCAGGAGACCAGGGTCCTTTAAGTACATGGTGGGGTTGCCTTCATAGCTCACTAGTGAGTCTTGGAGCTGGAGGAACACTCAGTTTGGTGGTTCTCAGACTTTCCCCTGCCTCAGAATCACCTGGAAGGCCACATGTAAAGCATCAACTGCTAGGCTCCACCCCCCAGGGTTTCTCAGTCAGTAGATCTGGAGTGGATCCGGAGAGTTTATAATATTGGACAGCTTCCTGGGTGTGCCACTGCTGCCAGTCAAGAGACCACACTTTGAGAACCACTGGCTGGGTGGAACAGTGATGAAAACAGTTTCAGGGTTGTGGTGGGGGCAGGTGGCGAGTGAGAGGTGAATCACCATCATCCTGCAGTCGCTGCCCTTTCCTTCCCACACACCTGCCTTGACTGTGGTCCCCAAAGCTTAGCTTGCGCCCGCACACCCCTGCCTTTCCTCTGGTGGTATTTGCAGTCGTGTGTCTAAAAGTGCTAAGACAGAGCACTGTCCTGAGCCCAGTGGCCGGGTCTGAGTTCTCCGTGCATATCTCCTATACAGTTCTTTCTCTAGAGTAAAAACAGTACGTCTTTTACTTTATTCATAATTTTTTGTGCTGATGAAATCCCTGATTCCACTGGTTATTTTGGGTCAACGGCCCTGGGGAGAGTAGAAAAGACAGGCATGTTCTATGCTAATGAAAGGGAACATGGGTGTCACTCGCTGATTTAAGGATTGTGTTGATTTTTTTAAAAAATGACAAGGATGAGGCTGAGACCAGAGTCCAGTGCTTTCACCTAAGACCTTTGTTGCCCCATTAGTCAAACCGTTTTTTGACATGAATGTGAAGCCAACTACAAAGGGAAGCAGCTGTATGGTGCACTAGGTGTCCTGGAACGCCAGGAAAAGAATTCGTCTGTTGTGATGTAGAATCGTCGGGCAAGCTCAAACTACCCAGACAGCTGTGAATGACAAAAGATCTCCTGGGTTTTGAGCTTTGGCTGGAAACTTGGTGAGGGTGCCATTTGGTGAGGAATGTGGTAGGTTCTGTTTTTATCATTAGATTCAGGCTGGGACAGAGAGCATGTGAGAGTTCATATTCCACCAGGGATGAGGGGAGACAGTTTCAGTTCAAGAGCCAGTTTGCAGGGGTGGCCGAGAATACTAAAAAGGTAACTCAGGTGAAGGTGGACAGGCTGCAGAGAGGGTCTGGAGCTGAGAGAAACCTAAGCCAAAACCAGAACACCATGTAGTAAGAAATGATGGAAGAGGCATTGGTTAGCTATACCACATGCAAGGAGTGAAGTGCAGGAACCAAAAAAAGACCTTTGGGCAAAATAAAATCATCTGTAAAAGCACATAGAAATAGCAGTAGTAGCCAGTAGCCCCTAAGTTCTCAGCATTGCAGGAAGAAGCAGGCCACAGGAAGTGAAGGTAAGCAGAACATGTCCACCTGAACTCTAGTCCCCCAAGATGAGCATGGGCCTGCAGTTAGAAGGGCAGGGTGAGGAAGTGCGGACAGGCCAGCGGAGAGCAGTGTCAGGGAGGTTCAGGAGAAGGCAGGCATAGGAAGAATTCATGTTCTGGAGAATTCCCTTGGCTCCAGGCTTTGAAAAGGGTCAGGGCCCGTCTCTGCTGACAGCAGGAAGAACACAAAGGTAGTGTCAGGTGTCGAGCTGGGGAGGGAGATGAAGACGGTGATCCTGAGTCCTGCAGTTGAAGAAGTTGGCTGGCTCTGAACACATTGCTTCAGTTACTTGTCACGGATTCTTTTTTTTTTTTTTTTAAGATTTTATTTATTTATTTGAGAGCGAGAGAATGAGAGACAGAGAACATGAGAGGGAGGAGGGTCAGAGGGAGAAGCAGACCCCCCGCCGAGCAGGGAGCCCGATGCGGGACTCGATCCCGGGACTCCAGGATCATGACCTGAGCCGAAGGCAGTCGCTCAACCAACTGAGCCACCCAGGCGCCCTTGTCACGGATTCTGATGTGCTTTAAAGTGGAATCTGAAAACCTGGTATTCGGGGTGGCCGACCAGGAAACCGCTGCAAGAGTCAAAGACACATGCCTGCTTTCTCGCTGTACTGGAATAGGAGGCTCAGACGCTCTATCAAAGCAGTAAGGGAACAAATGGGAAGTCTTGCCCTAAACCAATGAGGCACACTTCTTTCTGTGGCAGGCAAGGGTTTAGAAAAGCCCACTTAAATTGAGGGACACTTCAAAACGATGGCATGATGAGACAAGGCACGACGATGTGCACGTGCTGCTGCTGGCTCTGCAGCGGTGCTGTCAGCCGCTGAGTGGACTTGCTGGTGGATGAGCCCCCCGAACCCATTGGTATCTCTCTTTTTCAGGATAGGATTTTTGGGCCTTGGCCTCATGGGAAGTGGCATCGTCTCCAACTTGCTAAAAATGGGTCACACAGTGACTGTCTGGAACCGGACTGCAGAAAAAGTAAGCATTCATGGGGGTGCTTGTAGGGCGGGGTGGGATGGCACCTTGACCCTTGGAGTTGGAGTGGCTTAAGGATAGGAATCTTCCTGTTACCTCCGCCCAGCGTTCTGCATGCGTAGAGTAGGAGAAGCCAAGTTCTTAGTTCAGGCAGGTGAAGCTGTAGGTATATGAGCTTAGGATGTTTGGTTTTTTATGTTTTCTTTTTCTAATTATTTAAATTCTTAACATACGTGGTAAAAATTGGTTTCAGGTGTAGAATTAAATGTTATATAATTTATATATCATCACAAGTGTCCTCCTCAATACCCATCACCCATTTAGCCCATTCCCTGCCCACCTCCTTCCATCAACTCTTAGTTTGTTCTCTATAGTTGAGAATCTCTAAGCTTTAGATGTTATTATAAAAAGTAAACATTTAGGGGTGCCTGGGTGGCTCAGTTGTTGGGCATCTGCCTTCGGCTCAGGTCATGATCCCAAAGTTCTGGGATCGAGCCCCACATGGGGCTCCCTGCTCCGCGGGGAGCCTGCTTCTCCCTCTCCCACTTCCCCTGCTTGTGTTCCCTCTCTCACTGTGTCTCTCTCTGTCAAATAAATAAATAAAATCTTAAAAAAAATAAAAAGCTCACTAGGATGTTCAGTGCAACTGGAACTCTTAAAAATAAATAAATAAAAAGTAAACATTTAAAAACACTTGGGTATAAAATGAAGTGAAAATTCTCCCTTCTCTGCCATTACCTGAGCTAGCTCACGTCAGGTGTTTGTATCCTTTTTTTTTATGCACATGCAAATATATATGTGGGTATATTAGTAATTCATTGATACTGAGTGCATAGAGATAGATCTGCTTCTTTTTAGTGGCTGCACTGTTCTGTCATTGGGATTGTGTTAACAGCACTGTACAGTAGAGCATTTTGCAGTGCTGGAGATGTCCAGTGTCTGCCCTGTCCAGTGTGGTAGCCACTAGCCACATGTGGCTCTTCCAGCACTTGAATCATGGCTAGTATGATGGAAGAATTGAATTTTTAATTTTATTTCACTTAAATGTAAATAGTCCCCCATGGCTAGAGCCCACCAAAGTGGACAGGACAGGTTTAGAAGTTCTTAACTTAAGGTGGTGGTCCACCACTTCAAGGATCTGTGCATGCCCTGAAATGGAATTCCAAGTCCAAATGTGTACCTTTTATAAGGGAGAGAGGCCACAGCTCCTCCCATCGAGTTCCTATCCAAGAAAAGGTGAAGAATGGTAGTCTGAGTACCAAGAAACTAAAGCCCTATACTCACCAGGAGCACATGAAGAGAAATTGAGGAAGGACCAGCCTGTTGGGGAGCAAGTGTGGCTCAGCATGTGTTTACAAAGTGATTGAGTGAGCACCCGGTGTGCAGCTGGGTGCAGCTGAAAGGAGGATGGTTGCTGAAGGAGGTGGTAGGGCTAATAGGTTTGAATTAACAAATGTCTTGGCAAGGTAAAAAAAAAAATTTCACTCTATTGAAACAAAGGCCTTTTCAAGAATAACAAGGAACTGGTTGGAGAGTCAAGAGGGTTGGGGGGAAAGGGCACTGAAAACTGTGCTAAAAAGTTTAGGCTTCAGCTGCTGGGCATTGGGTACCTAAGGCAGGAGTGAGATCTCTCGTCCCATCAGCAGGATAGGTTGTGATTGAAGGTACGGGTAACCAGGAAATGTAGACGCAGACAGTTGCAGAAGCTGGGAGAGTCAGAGGGTTTCCCTTATAAGTACATTCCCCTTTGATAGAAGTGCCTCTGGTCAGCCTGCATCTTGATTGGAAAACCTAAATGTTATATAAACATGGCCATTCTTTCCAAATTAATTTATGGGAAAGCAGGAGAGCAAAGCATTTACGAATCTCGGTTTGGAATCAGACCTAAATCCAAGTCACAGCTGTCTTGCTCACTCTCTCCAGCAAGATTGTTTACCTTCCTAAGCCTCAGAGTTCTCATCTGTAAAATGATGACAGCAAAAGCAAAAGATTAGGAGCGCCTGGGCAGCGCATTCGGTGAAGGGTCTGACTCTTGGTTTCAGCTCAGGTCTGATCTCAGGGTCCTGGGATCGACCCCCACATCAAGCTCCATGCTCAGCGTGGAGTCTGCATTTCGGCTCAGGTCATGATCTCAGGGTCATGATATCAAGCCCCACATCAGGCTCTGCGCTGGGAATGAAGATTGCTTAAGATTCTCTCCCTCTCCCTCTGCAGAATCTCCTCCCCCACTCACATTCACTCTTGCACTCTCTCTGTCAAGGGGGAAAAAAGCCATGTAATTCTTTTACAATCCCTGTGTAATTCTTGTTAAAGGATCTTGATAAAAAATTATTCCCTGGTATAGTAAATGGGAAACATACTTTCACTTTTTCAGAAAAGAAAAAGTAATGAGATCTCTTCCAAACAAAGTTTAAAACATAAAGCTATATACTTAAAGGCTAAGGTGCGTGTGTACCATGATAAGAACACACACCCATCAGCTAAACTGGACAGCTAGGACTTCGTCTGATAGAGGTGGCTCGCTGCAAATCATTGAGATAGGAGAAAGGTCAGTCAGTAAGTTATGTTCAGAATAGTTCTATGGTTAGAAATTTGAGGAAGTACTAATCTCACTTCGTACCACCTAAAATAAATTCCACGTAGATTTAAAGGGATACCAACTGAAAGTGGTTATAGCAAATATGATAGGGAAAGGGTAACATACTGATTTTATTAAACACATTGTTTGATAAATCCAAAATAAAAAATTGCACACAAAAGAAACAGGTATTAAATTTAAAAGGTTCAGTAATCAAGAGTAATCAAAATATATCAAACAAACAGTTGCTGTTTTGGGCTGGTTAAATCATCAAGTAGGACATAATTTTTATGTATTTATGGATGCTTGTTTGTTGTTTTTAAATGATGTACTCAGTGCTGGTGATTTGAGACCTTGCTGATGATCATTATAGATTAACAGCTCCATTGGAAAGCCATTTGTCTACATTTATTAAGAGCTTTAAAGCTATTTGGAGCCTGTTTTATTCTACTTTCAGAGACCTAAATTGAAAACATAAAGGAAAGGTATTATACGTGAAGATATTTGTTGGAGTCATTTATAATTAAAAGCAGGCTAGATATCTAACTGCAGGAGAGCCATTAGATAAATTCAGGTGTATCTCAATGGAATATTCTGCAGCCATCTATTATAAATGATAATTATGAAAGGCTACGGTATGGATAAATGTAAATCACACACAGTATTAAAAGTTGGATACAGGGGCGCCTGGCTGGCTCAGTCGGTTAAGTGTCTGCCTTCGGCTCAGGTTACGTTTCCACGGTCCTGGGATCGAGCCCCACATTGGGCTGCCTGCTCAGCGTGGGGAGTCTGCTTCTCCCTCTCCCTCTGCTGCTCCCCCTGCCTGTGCTCTCCTGCTCTCACTCTGTCAAATAAATAAATCTTTAAAAAAAAAAAAAGATACAAAATAGTAGCTTCACATTATTCTAATTTTTTTAAATGCCTTGGAGAAGGAAATACACTGAAATATTAATGATGTTTTGTAGGGGCGCCTGGGTGGCTCAGACGGTTAAGCGTCTGCCTTCAGCTCAGGTCATGATCCCAGCATCCCCCTGCTTGTGTTCCCTCTCTCTCTGTCTCTATGTCAAATAAATAAAATTTAAAAAAATCTTTGAAATATTAATGATGTTTTGTTATGAGATGTTCTGGGTAATTTTAATTCTCAAGGAAGAAAAGTTCATGCTTTTAGAAACCCCCAGAAATATCTTGGTAAGGAATGGCAGCCTCCCAGCCCCAGCCCTGGTTCCCCAGCACAGTGTGGATAGCCTGGGACAATGGGCAGGTTTTGCCACAGCCAAGACAGCTACAGAGTGCTGCAAACAGGTACTGTTTACATCCTGTTCTTCAAACAGGAATCCTTCAGCAGACACTTGTTTTGTGCTTACTGTGAAGTAGAACATCGTTCTAGGCACCAGGTATGCAAAAACACAAGACGGTCCTTAAGGAGCCCCATCCACTTCCCTCAGAAAAGTCAGACCACCAGGGGCGCCTGGGTGGCTCAGTCGGTTAAGCGGCTGCCTTCGGCTCAGGTCATGATCCCAGCATCCTGGGATTGAGCCCCGCATCAGGCTCCCTGCTCAGCGGGAAGCCTGCTTCTCCCTCTCCCTCTCCCCCTGCTTGTGTTCCCTCTCTCACTGTCTCTCTCACTGTCAAATAAATAAATAAAATCTTAAAAAAAAAAAAAGACCACCAGCTCTGGTATCCCTGGCTCCTAGCCTCAGCCTCCTACCTTGGGAGGCCAGCCAGGAGGACTGTGCAGTGTGTCTCTGGCCTGGCTGTTGTGTTTGTTGTGCACTGCCTGCAGCTCACGTTAGGATCTGTGACTTTTGCAGTGTGATTTGTTCATCCAGGAGGGGGCCCGCCTAGGAAGAACCCCCGCTGAAGTCGTTTCAACTTGTGACATCACCTTTGCCTGCGTGTCAGATCCAAAGGCAGCCAAGGACGTAAGGATCCCTTCCCTCCCCTCAATGTCTCAGGTTGTGGCCAGGAAAGCTGGCTGGCCTCCCTGCCTTCTCCCCTGCCCATGAGTGAGTGTCTGTAGCATGTGGGAGGGTTGTATTTCCCATTTGGGGCCATCCCCCATTGTGAAAGTAATCTGCATAAATTAAACACAGCCATCCTTTAATTCAGAACAGAGAATGAAAGTAACTAGGGTCCCTGAGATCTATGCTGACCATCCCCATGTATTCGTATTTGGTTCATGTGGCGAGGTCATATGTTTAGCTCTGGCTGTATTTGTATGTTTTATAAGTTCATGTACAATAGTCATCTTGTTAAATTGGTAACTAGTTTAATCCAAAGAAGCCCAAGAAAATACTGAGGTTATCGTTTAAATGGGAGGTTTTTAGTAAAAAGGAACATGCATGTATTCTTTTTGAAGATAAATGGGAATAAAGTAGAGCTGTTTTTCTCTCTTAATGCTTATTTACTTGCTGCCCTCTCTCAGCCTTAATATTTAGCTCCTAATCAGGAAATGAGCCAAAAAAGTAACAGGATTCTGACCTTAGGTCTAAGGGGCTCCTGGGTGTCTGGCTGGGAGCCCGGGCTATTGCTTCTCCCTTGTGTCCCCACAGCTGGTGCTGGGCCCCAGTGGTGTGCTGCAGGGGATCCGCCCCGGGAAGTGCTACGTGGACATGTCAACAGTGGATGCTGACACAGTCACCGAGCTGGCCCAGGTAGCGGCCTCGTTCATGCTGGCCCTCCAGCGTCCTTGGCAGTTGGAGCCCAAGACTCAGGCTGATTGATTATGCCTGAATATAGGCAACTTGATTACTCTAGAAGTCAAGCCAGGAGAGGACGAGAGGCCTGTAGCCTTGGGACTAGCCTGTCTTCACTTTCTACTTTCAGAGCCACAGCTAATCTGAATAGCCGCGAGAGGAGAGGTGCCGCCCACCTGGATGGGCATTAGGTCCTGTAGCTGCCTGCCCCACAATGAGAAGCAATCCAGGCTGCCAGCAGGGCCTTTTTGGTTTAAGCAGCCATCTACAGTTGTTAATAACAGTATTCTTCCTCCCTAAGCTGCTGGGCCAAGTGAGGGGGTGGTTACTTCTAGGCCTTGTGTGTTCTGAGAGTGGCTGAAGAGGGAAGGGCAGTGTCTGGAGGAGGTGTGGTCAGCCAAGCCATTGGCACGGTCATGCTTGGTCACTGCAAGAAATTCTAAGTCCATGGGAGTCTGTGGGGAGACCACCGCCCCCCCCACCCCCGCTTCTCTGTTTACTGCATGTAATTCAGGCATCTCTTTGGGGCCTCGGTATGGAGGGCCAGGTGTTTCCACTTGAAACCCCTGTGAGAGGCAAGACCTTCAGAAGCTATGACTTTCCTTTCCAGGTGATTGTGTCCAGGGGGGGCCGCTTTCTGGAAGCCCCAGTCTCAGGGAATCAGCAGCTGTCTAATGATGGGATGTTGGTGATCTTAGCAGCCGGAGACAGGGGCTTGTATGAGGACTGCAGCAGCTGCTTCCAGGCAATGGGGAAGACCTCCTTCTTTCTAGGTAACACGCCTGCCCACCCATCGGGCCACTGCAGGCCCGGAGGCTGGGTGGGCCACATCCCCTCTAGACTGCACTGATGACAGCGTCAATCCCGCACGGCCTCTCTGCCTGGGGCCCCCATGGGAAAGTTTCCTTTGACTTGCACAGTCAGTGCCTGGAAGGAGGAAGAGCCTGAAGGGTCAGAGCCAGTTCTGTCAGGGGCAGGTGAATGGGGCCTCCCCTGGGTGTAGAGGTGGGTCCGAGCAGGGATGAGGGTGGGCAGAAAGTCCCTGCCCTCGGAATTCTTGGGAAGTGACCGTGATTCTCTGCCCTGGCCAGGTGAGGTTGGCAACGCAGCCAAGATGATGCTGATCGTGAACATGGTACAGGGAAGCTTCATGGCCACCATCGCTGAGGGGTTAACCCTGGCCCAAGTGACAGGCCAGTCCCAGCAGACACTCTTGGACATCCTCAATCAGGGACAGTTAGCCAGCATCTTCCTGGACCAGAAGTGCCAAAGTGAGTTGCCTTTGTCCTCTCCGTGCATTTTACTTGTGATTGGAGCTGAGAAACTGGGTCAGGCCTCTGTCACAGAGCGTTCTCTTCTTCAAGGGCTCACTGGTATGAAAGAGGCACCCTCTCTAATCAGTCTATGCACTCTACCAGAGGGGGTCCAGAGACATGGCAGATGGGTTTGGGGGTACTGGCTGGGAACTGGTTGGTCTCTTCAGTGTCCAAGAGGGAGGAAGTGCTAGATGTTGAGCCCTGACGGTACAGCAGATAGTTTCTTAGTTAGAGTCCATTTAATTCTTCTGATATGTGCTTTCCGTCCTCAGATATCCTGCAAGGGAACTTTAAGCCTGATTTCTACCTGAAGTACATTCAGAAGGATCTCCGCTTAGCCATTGCCCTGGGGGATGCCGTCAACCATCCTACTCCAATGGCAGCTGCAGCCAATGAGGTAACTGCAAGAGGCGGGGCCCAATCTGGCAGCCTTCCCTTGGTTTTTAGTCTTCCTCCCCTCTCTTTGCTTTGTGTCTCTTTGTGTCTCACCTCTTGAGGTGGAAGCTCACATCATTGATTCTAGACAGGAGCATTTAAAAGCATACATTTCCTTCTGAGCCATGCTTATTTCCCTTGTGATTTCTTTGACCTGTGGATGACTTAAAAGTGCGTCAGATAATTGGAGTCGTCCTATGAATCTAATGGGTATTGATTACTGATGTATATCTGTTGTGGTTAAAAAAACACATCCTGTGTGATTTTTAACTCTTTAAATTCATTCAGACTTGTTTTGTGGCCCAGCAGATGGTCTGTCTTGGTAGGTGTACCATGTGCACTTACGAAGACTCTGTTCTGCAGTTTTGGGTGCTGTGTTCTGCAAATAATCAGTTAGGTCGAGGTTGGTAGTGTTTTTTAGGTCATCTTTACTGGCGTTTTTCTCTGGTTCTTTCAGTTGCTGAGAGATACTAAAATCTCCAACTATGATTGTAGCATTGTCTGTTTTTCCCTTTAATTCTATTATCTTTGAAACTCTTGTGGTTGGGTCCTTAGCCATTTGTGATGGTCATATCTTCCTGATGAATTTGCCCTTTAATTATTATGAAATGTCCCTCCTTACCTTTGTCTACAAGCCTATAGCCTGGTTTCACTGTAGCTGCTACTGTGTTCATGGTATATCTTTTTCCATTCATTTACTTTTAACTTGTGTCTTTATATTTAAATTGTATTCTCTGTATACAGCCTGTCATTGGGGCTTGCATTTTTATCCATTCTGGCATCTGCCTGTTAATTGGAGTGTTTGGTCATTAACATTTGTTTGAGTGACAACAAAGCACCTACATATGCACTTTTTTAAAACAGTTGGGTTTGGGGGAAGGGTTATTTATTTGTTTTAATAAGTTTATTTTAAGTAATCTTATACCTGATGTGGGGCTCAAACTCAGGACCGTAAGATCAAGAGTTGGGTGCTCTACCAACGGAGCCAGCCAGGGGCCGTCGTTTAGAAGGTCAGCTTTCTCAGCCTGACAGAAGGGTAGCCTTAAAAAAGCTGAGCAATACTTCATTACTGTAGAGTTACAATCAAAACCGTATTTTGTGTAAAACACATATACGAAACACATAAATTCATTTATTTTAGAGGCTGTACCTTCTAGATAGTATAAGAGGATACACATTTTCATTCAAGTTAAACAAGTCTCAAGTGGATTGTTCTAGCATAGAAGTAAAGAAACACAGTTCTGCTCTTTTCAGATGTGGCTTTTCGTAATATGTAATCAGTCTCCTGTCCCTTCCTTGTCTGCCTGGGCATCTCAGAGAACTTAACTTCACCTTTTCAGGTTGCAGTACAGTTTTCACGTTCCCCCCAATTGTTTTGCCTCGGATTCTCTCTTAGCAGTGGACTTCTCTGTGTATTTTATGTAATTTTTTTGTTGATCATCTTTAATTGAAGTTACTTCTGAAGGGTCTGTGTGTGGCTTGTGTTGACAGCTTTCTCTGTGAAGTGATTTCTGACTTGCCTCTGCCCTGACTGTAAGATTCATTGGCTTGAAAACAGGTATTTTGGTTAATTTCAGTGGAGCGTGTTGCTTTCTGGAGGGTGTGAATTTAGGCTCCTCCCTGGAGCTCGGTGTTCAGGATCTTAAGGTTAGTTAGTCCATTAACATTTAGTCTTTGTCTTAAAGTCTATTGATGTGTGGTTGGATTTGGAGGTACCGTTTTATCATTTGATTGCTCTTTGTCCCTTCTGGCTTTTGTCTGTCTCTCCTTTTTTACTGCCTTTTGGATTATTTGAATATTTCTTAGAATTCCATTTTCTCCATTGGCTTTTTAATAATGCATTGTTTTTCTTTTATCTTTGCTCTAGGGATTGCAGTATGGAAGGATATGCAATATCCTTAACTTCATGGCCTACTTAGGGTTAATGTTGTACCTCTTCACATAAAACATAGATCCATTTCCCGCTCCCGCCCTCCTCCTTTAAGGCAAGGCTTCTTAACCTGGGCACCATTGCCATTTTGTTGTGGGAGCTGTCCTGTGCATTACAGGATATTTAGCAGCAATATTAGCAGTGTCCTATACCCACTAGAAGCCAACAATGCCCCCTCAGTTGAGAAGAGGCCTGTAGACATTACCACGTCCCTGTGGGGCAAAATAACCCCAGCTTGAGAAGCCCTGCTTTATTTTTTTTTTTAAAGATTTTATTTATTTTGAGAGAGCGTGTACATACACGTGCATGAGTTGGGGGGGCGGGCAGAGGGAAGGGGACAAGCAGACTCCACACTGAGTGTGGGGTCTGATGTGGGGCTTGATCCCACGTGTCTGATACCATGACCTGAGCCGAAATCAAGAGTCGGATGCTCTGAGCCACTAACCACCCAGGTGCCCCAAGAGAACCCCTGCTTTGGGGTATAGATTTCCTGTGTGTTACATCTGCCTTTGTTCTAAACCTACCAGACAATGTTGGAATGTTTTAAGTGGTCATGTGTAATTTTTTTTTTTTAAAGATTTTTATTTATTTATTTATTAGAGAGTGAGCGAGAGAGAAACAGCATGAGAGAGGAGAGGGTCAGAGGGAGAAGCAGGCTCCCCGCTGAGCCGGGAGCCCGATGTGGGACTTGATCCCAGGACTCTGGGATCATGACCTGAGCCGAAGGCAGTCGCTTAACCAACTGAGCCACCCAGGCGCCCCAATGTGTAATTTTTTTAATTAAGAGAAAAAATACTTTTCTATTTGTCTAATTTACCATTTCCAGTGTTCTCCATTCTTTTCTGAAGATTTGAATTTCTCTCTGGTATTGTTTCCTTTCAACTGGAAGAACTTGCTTCAGCATTCCCTGTAATGCAGGTCTGCTGGCAACGATTCGTTTTCTTTTCTCTGAAAAGGTCTTTATTTAGCCTTCATTTTGAGTTGACAGCTACACCTGAGCTATAATGGACACTCAATTGTCATGGCTTCAACTGGACTATGTTTTTAAAAAGACAAAGATGCAGCTGACTCTGTGGGAGGAACCTTGTGTCCAACTGCATTTCCTCAGTGTGCCTAGACGCCACACTGCCCTGCTCGAATGGCTTTTTAATTCTCTTCACATTCGTTCATAGTATTCACCTAGTGGCTCTGGAGTGGCTGTCAGCTGCCAAGCACTGTTCTAGGCTCTGGGGACATGTTGGGGGGCCACCTGTTCCCTTCCTTGTGGAGCTTACATTTCAATGGAAGGAGGCACAATATAAGCAGATAGTTATTTAAACAATCTCTGAAGGTCAGAAGTATGAATAAAATAGAACAGAGGAAGAAAAGGTGACCAGGATCAAGTGGTACAGCCACTGCTTTCCATAGGCTGGTCAGGGAAGGCCTTGGAGCGGACTGGGAAGGAGCCAGCCATGCCTAGGGAAAGGCATCCCATGCAGAGGGAAGGGCAAGGGTAGTGGCCCAGAGAGTAACATGGAAAGACCCTGGAGGCAGGAAGAGACATGATTATAATTACTAACTCTGAGCACTTTACCTCCCCCGCTCCGTTTAGTCCTCACGATAACCTTGTTATCTTCTCCATGACATGAAGGACTAGTGATGAAGACAGAAACTGAGGCACTTGGCTCAAGATCAGTGGAGGGTGGCCAGGAGTTGCACCCAGACAGCCTGGACTCCTGGCTGAGCCTGCCTGCCTGACCGCATCTAGAACTACCTCCACAAAGCAGATTGTGTCTTTAAGTCAGCTCTGTGGTCAGAGACTGAGCCCATCTCCTTTTTTTCCAGGTGTACAAAAGAGCCAAGGCACTGGACCAGTCTGACAACGACATGTCTGCCGTGTACCGAGCCTATATACACTAAGCCCTTGATACCCCACCCCACCCCCTCAGTCTTCCCTCTGACCCCTCCTCCTCACATGGGGTTGGGGTCCTGGGACTTAACTCTGGACCAGTCCACCTGTCTCCATCTCCTTTTATACAGACTTTGAGACTTGCCATCAGCACAGCACACAGCGTCACTCCTCCCCTGGAGGTCCTGGGGAGGGGAGGGGTGTCAGCAGGATTGGCCTTTGGGAAAGCTCTTGAGCTGGGCACTGGCCCTGGACTAGGTGGTTGTGTGTTCACACACACACACACACACACACACACACACACGGTGGCTGTGTGTACGTTCTCTCTCTCTCTCTCTCTCTCTCTCTCTCTCTCCCCCTCTCTCCCTCCCTCTACACACCACACACTGGCTCTCACCCCAGGATAAAAGCTGCCCAGAAACTGCTGCCTGGCTTTTTTTTTTTTCCCCCTTCTGAGCTTGTCTTATCTCAGACCCTTTCCAGTCGAGGAACTAGAATCAGCATTAAGAACTGGAAGCCTTTCCACTGCTTCCTTCCTTCAGAGCGAAGAGGCTGTGGTTATGTCCACATCCCGCCCTGGATCCCGCACGTGAAACAGAGGCTCTGGGTCAAAATGAGCCAGCACCGACTCCAAACAGAGGGTCCTCATGGGCCCTCCAACCTCAGGTGACCAGCTGATGAGGATTGTCATGTTTAAGCTACCAATGAGCAACCAACTCTCCATAAATGCCTTTGTGAACTGAAAAGAAATTGGCCAAGTTGAGCGGACACAGGGCTCTGGCTCTCTGGGGAGAGCAGCAAATCGCCAGCACATTAGGTGAGCCCCACAGAAGCCTACTCTCGTCACCGCTCTTGAGCACCTATCCCAGAAGTCACCGTCACTGCAGAGCCCTGGGCTGGGATCAGACTTCCTTGCTTTGGTGTAGGGAGAGCTCACTCCTCACCAGGCTCTTTTAGTATTTGGATTTGCATTCCAGCCCTTGGGAAGGGTATCCTGAGGGCCACCAGGGAGGAGTGAAGAGGGAGGAGAGTGGGGTTCCTTCCTGTTTTCCGTTATGCTGCAGACTTCCACCTCGTTCTGAAGAGTCACTCTGACTGGGTCCCCTCATAGCAGTCCCAGCTTCTCCAGCCTGCTCCTGTACATGTTCCCCACCTGCCCATCTCTTCATTCTCCCTTCGTCCTTTTCTTCCCATGGAGACAGTGTTTCTGTCTGTCCCTTCTTTGGCCCATACCCAGCCTGACCAACGATGGCCATTTCTTAGGCTCAGCTGTTGAAACAGGAACGAGTGTCTTCACTTTAGCAGAAGCATGGTCTTCGATGCTTCCAGGGCCCCAGGGTCTCTCGGGAGGGAAGAGAACTGGGCCTGACCCAACCTGAACTATCTGACCCTAAGAGGTGGATCTAAGACATCCTTGAGACCCTAACATTTCTCCTTGGACAGGGGACCAGAGGGGCTTGGAATGTGGCATAAAAACAAGGAGAAGTCACCTAAAGGATGTCAATGTTCTCTCCCTCTGCATGGGTTGCATTTTCCAAAGTCACACTTTGCAGGTCAGTGTTTCTAGTGAATATAGAGAATGAGACCACACTGGGGTGGGCCCCTCCCCCCTCAACCTTGGCCCATTTGCGCCGATCAGAACCCAGGCTAGGGGATCTCAGAAGACATAGAGGGAGGGCAAGGAAGATGCCTGCGTGTTTTTGGCATAACTTCACTGGGATTTGGAATACTTTTCTGTCTGAACACAAAGCCTGTTCTAGTCCTAGCCAGACATTTTGGGGAGGGTGGGGGGTGGGGGTGGGGAAGATACTGTAATGAAACTGGTTAGTCAATGTTGTCTTAATATTGTTGACAATTCTGTAAAGTTTCTTTTTATGAGTATTTCTGTTTAAGCTATTTCATCTTTGTTTTGAAATCCTTCCCTTTTAGGAGAAAATGTGACACTTGTGAAAAAGCTTGTAAGAAAGCCCCTCTTGCGCGACCCCCTTTTTTTTTTCCTTTAAACCTCCTTTAAATGACAAATCTAGGTAATTAAGGTTGTGAATTTTTATTTTTGCTTTGTTTTTAATGAACATTTGTCTTTCAGAATAGGATTGTGTGATAATGTTTAAATGGCAAAAACATGATTTTGTGCAATTAACAAAAAGCTACTGCAAGCAAAATAAAACGTTTCTTGGTAACACAATTGTGACTGATTACCTCGGCAGTGGTTACTGCCTGCGCCCAGAGGAGGGAGGAGGGCCGGGAGCGCCGGGACTGTCGGCTCAGTGGACTCCTTCCTCCCGACCCAACGGAACCCGAGAGCTCAGCGCGCGGAGGGCGAGGCCGAGCAGGAACAGGCTGCCCCGCCAGCCAATCGCCGGGCGCGGCGAGAACAAGCCATCCCGGTGGCCAATCAATGAGAGCAAGCGGAGCAGGGCGCCCTATCAGAGCTGGGGAGGGGCGGGACAAGCGGCCGCCGCGCTCCACCCCGAGAGTGGCGGGGGATGCGGCGCCCGAGCGCCCAGCGCCCCGGGTAGGTGCCGGCGGCCGCTTGGGAGAGCCGGCGCAAGCGGGTTCGCGCAGCCGCCAGCCTCGATTTGGAGCGCCAGCTCGGCCGGTCGGAGGCGGGGGAGGGGGCCTGAGAGAGGGGCGGGCGCGCGCGGAGCCAATCGGCGGCGGGGGTGGGCTCGGGCGCCGCGGGCGCACTGACGGCCGGTGGACCGAGCCTCAAGCGGACGGCGAGCCGGGGACCGTTGCTGAGCGGCGGCGATGGCGACCGCGATGTCAGCGACGGCGGCGGAGCGAGCGGTGCTGGTGAGGCGCGCGGGCGGGGCGGGGCGAGGCGGGGCTGGGGACGGCGGGCCCGGGCGGCTGACCGCCGGCCTGTCCCCGCAGGAGGAGGAGTTCCGCTGGCTGCTGCACGACGAGGTGCACGCAGTGCTCAGGCAGCTGCAGGACATCCTCAAGGTAAGGCTTCTGGCGGGCCGGCGCCGCTGCGGCTCCTTCCCGGGCCACCGCGCCTGCCTCCCGAGCGCCTGCTGTGGACGCGACGCGCGTTGTACAGACCAGGCCCTACCCCAGTGGACTTGGCGTCCAGTCGGGGCACCACTACATGATTGCCCACTTAATCACAAGCAGCTGTGTGAGAGTGCTGGGCTGGGCCTGGAATGAGCCCCCGGCTAGGGGGTCGGGGTTGGGGTCAAGGAATGCTTCCTTTGAAGCTGTGATCTCAAGGTCTCCAGCATCATACTCAACCTCATGGGGCCTCCCTTTCGCAAGAACGAGGTTGCAGTACCGGCCTCACGGGGCTGTTCTGAAGATAAGTCAACTCACAAAAATGTCCAGGCATTGCGTACTATGGCCAGAATTTCGAGTTACCATGAGTAGTGTCATTCCCTGACTCTGCTCCCTACACTGGAGCATCTTAACCAAGCCTGGAGGTCATCTCTGTTCTATATCCCTGACTGAGTTGGGCATGAGGGAGGCGTCCAGGGAATGTGGAAGGAACAGCTATCCACTCTGGTAGGACCTGAAACTCAGGTGGTGGGGGAGGGGCCAGAGAAATGGGAAGGTGCCCTGGAGGCTTGAGAGGAGCCCACTTTGTCCCTACCCTGGCCAACCCAGGAATGGGGCTTCTGGAAGGAGTGGTGAGCTGGATTGGGTGAACTTTACTCCACTGCCCTCTGCCCCTCCAGGAGGCCTCGCTCCGCTTCACTCTGCCATGCTCTGGTACAGGCACCGAGGGGCCTGCCAAGCAGGAGAACTTCATCCTTGGCAGCTGTAGGTGAGCCAGGCTGAGCAGAACCAAGAGGGATGGACTGCTTGGAAGGGGGACACCTGGGATACTGCACAGCCAAGGCCCTGCCATGCAGACTGATTTCAGCCCCAACATCCAGAGGGTGTGCTGTGCTGTGGGACAGCCTGGGCCATCCTGTGACAGCCAGGGGCAACCTGCTGGGAGGGCTAGGTGGTGGGAAAAGGCAGCCGCAGGCACTGCTCTGACCCCCGCGTGTTGCAGCACAGACCAGGTGAAGGGCGTGCTGACTCTGCAAGGGGACGCGCTGAGCCAGGCGGTGAGTCCCCCAGCCCCGCTTCCCCCTTTCCCTGCTGCTGGAGGATCCAGTGGGGAAGAGTGAGGGGGCCTCCTGCTGAGCTTTGCCTTTACCAGTTGGCTGTGTGACCCTGGGCAGGATCCTTGACCTCTCTGGGCCTCAGTTTCCTCATTTGTGAAATAACAACCCACCCCGCCAAACCTCCTCTGGAATTGGTGTGTGGCTTCAGTGAGAGGTGCTGGAAGAGGGATGCTTTGCACACAGCCTGGCCCTGAGTCTGGGCCCAGTGAAGCGTGGGCAATGGCGGGATTAGGCTGGCCCCAATTCAAAGTGGAATCAGCCAACACCTGAGCTCCGTCTGTGCCAGGCCCCAAGATGTGGGGGAAGGTGCCTCTCCTCCAGCAGTGGGTGTTCAGTGCATTGGCCTGTATCCATGCTCCCTTTCTGCCCACAGTCACACCTCCTCCCAGCTGAGGCCACCTTCCCCTTTCTCTTTTCCCTTTCGTTTCTTTGTGGCTCCTCTTGGGCCTGAGTTCCTGTTTCCTGACCTCCCTGTTCACACCCCAAATGGCCAAGGTGCTGGGAGACTTTATGCCCTGTGGAATGACTGGGGCCTGAGCCACCACACACACCCCGTGTCTGCCCCCTGCTCAAGGTCTCAGAGTGGCCAGAAGCAGGAGGGCGGTCCTCCTGCTTATACACTCTTGCCCAGCAGGACGTGAACCTGAAGATACCCCGGAACAACCAGCTGCTGCACTTCGCCTTCCGAGAGGACAAGCAGTGGAAGCTGCAGCAGGTAGTTGGGCCCTTCCCCTGCCAGGGCTCAAGCCACAAGCTCAGGCAGGCAGGGACAGGCCTGAGCAGCACTGAGGCCTCCTGGTGCGGCCATGGGGGACTTAAGGCCGCAGCAAGCCTGGGAGGGTGTTTCCTAGCAGCAAAGCTGGAGCAGGCAGTGCCTGGGGCTCCAGAGCCTCACCTAGAGGGAGGTGAGAACCTATTCTGTCTGTAGGCCCCTGGGCCCCAATGGGAACCACAGGGATCTTCTGGAACAAGGAACTCCCCTTCCCAGAGCCTCCAGGGGCTTCCACTGGCTCCTGGGGACAAAGTCTGTGCTCCCTACCAGCTCCTCTGTGATTAGACCCTGCTCCTCCACCTCAGGGCCTTTGCCCATGCTCCTTGCTCTGCCTGGAGCCCTCTCTTGCTGCTTTTCTCATCACTTGGGTGATGCCCAAGAGGCATCTCCCTCGGGCCTCCCTTGACCTCCAGCTAAAGAGGCTCCTCCTCCCCCATCCTGCAGAGTCACCCTCTTGTCCTTGTACAAGTCACTCAGTGTGTTATCTTGTGCCTTTGCTCTGCTACCATCTGTTCTCCTTTAGAAGGTGAGCTGTGCGATGGCAGGCCTGCCAGAGTCTGTGCCATGTGCCCAGCACCCAGTCAGGGCCTGGCTTCGGGGGGCACAGAAAGGACAGCTGGCGGGGAAGGGTCAGGCAGGCAATACCTCAGGGTGAGGGCCCGTCATCTGGGGCCCTGGAGACTGTGGCTTCTCTGAAGTTGGCATCTCTTCCTCCTGAGGCCCAGCCCACTGACCTCTCAGTGGGCATTTTTTTCAGATCCAGGATGCCAGGAACCACGTAAGCCAGGCCATTTACCTCCTTGCCAACCGGGATGAAAACTACCAGTTCAGGACAGGAGCAGAGGTCCTCAAGGTGAGCTGCCTACAGGAACAGGAGAAGCAGGATCCCTACGCCTACCCCTGGCCCTGACCCCTGACCAGGCCCCTGGAGAGCTCTGCCTCCACATCCTCAGGTGCAGCTGATGGTGGACCCATCACCTCTCAGTGTGCACATATCCAAGCAGACACAGTCAAATGAGTCGCAGCCCGGGTTCCAGACTCAGACCTGGGTTCTGATCCCAGGGCCTTCACTGTAAGCTGTGCAACCCCAGGTCACTTTCTTAGCCGTTCTGTGCCTCAGTAGCCTCACCTATAAAAGGGGGCCATGGTGTCGCCACTAGCAGTTGGGATGATGCAGGTGGAGCAGCCCCTGGCACATGCTCAGTGGATAGCAGCTGCTAGCAGCTCTACTAGCCATAGGGAAACCCTTGGGTTTTGCAAAGTGAATTCACATGGTGTGGAGGGAAGAGCTGCTCTTCTATGCCCCCAACTCGTGCTTTAGCTCTGTCCCTGACTTGCTCTATGTCTGTAGGTGATTCACCTACCCTCTCTGGACCTCTGGGTCCTCATATGAACACTTAGAACTAGATGGACTAAAGTCCCTCCCAGAACTGGGACCACCCTGGGTGTAGGCAGTGCAGCCCCCATGCCTCCATCCAAAATTTCCCTTTCCTAGAAGCCAGGTCACCCCCACCCCCATCGCAACATCTGAAGCAGTGGAAGTTGGGGCTCTGGGGAGTTCAGGCCAGAGCTTTGGTCCGTGGCAAAGGAAAAGGATGAGTTCCAGATGGTTCCACTGTTCACTAGCTATGTGACCTTACCTCTCTGGAGCTTCACCTTTGAAAACGGTCTGGTGCCCACCTTAAGACCTCAACTTACCCATCCTATCACCTCCTCCAGGAAGCCCTCCCTGGCTCCTTGCACCCAACTGGGATTAAGGCCTCTTCCTCTAAGCTCCTTCATTGCCTGCACCCCCATCCACAAAGCCCTCATGCCCTTGGGACTAACTCCAGGGATCTTCCATCTTCCATTCCGCATTGGACCAGCACCCAGGATCCCATGCAATAGAACCTCCTGGACAGATGGTGAACAGTGCAGACGTCCAGTCCCCCACTCGCAGCTAGAGCCCAAATATCTGCACCTTTAACAAGCCCCACACTGTAGGGGTTCAGGCCTTGAGAGTGTGACCACCCGAGGCAGGAGCTGGGAGCTACCATGACTTGGTCAGTACCTATGCGGGAGGGCGGGGGCTGCCCTTGCAGCAGCTATGACTGGCCCCCTCCCCACAGCTGATGGACGCTGTGATGCTGCAACTGACCAGAGCCCGCAACCGGCTCACCACCCCGGCCACCCTTACTCTGCCTGAGATCGCTGCCAGTGGCCTCACGGTCAGTGCCTTAGGGCAGCCCCTGCTCCAGGAGAGGGAATGCCGCTGAGGAGCCCAGCTTGCCCCCTGGGAGGGACACGGGTGTGACGGGGTCCTGGAAACCCCAAACTGTTGTCAGTCGGAGGTCTAGGTCTATGCCACAATTTTCTGGGATAAGGTCCTTGGCGTCCATCTTGCATCCCCCAGATACCCCTGGTCTGGGTCAGTGGTTCCCAAGCCTGGTGCAGGAAGCTACCCGGGGCACCGGGAAGAGTCTGGAAGCCCCAGTCTATAGGCTGGGGAATGGGGTCCCCCAGGCGGTTCTGCCTGGCCCCTCATCCCACCTGCTTGCCTGGTGCTCGTCCCCAGCGGATGTTTGCCCCTGCCCTGCCCTCCGACTTGCTTGTCAACGTCTACATCAACCTCAACAAACTCTGCCTCACCGTGTACCAGCTGCATGCCCTGCAGCCCAATTCCACCAAGGTGAGGGGGACCCCACTTGCCCCCCACCCCCAAGTGCCTTGCAGCCTCTTGGGCCTGACTGGGTCTGATGCTCTTATGCTTAGAACTTCCGCCCAGCTGGAGGCGCTGTGCTCCACAGCCCTGGGGCCATGTTGTAAGTACGGGGGGGGGGGGGGGGGGGGGAGCGGGGGGGAACCCTGGAGCACCCTGCCCGCCCCAACTTTCTGCACCTTGGGGGCTGGGGGGGCGGGCTGGTCAGGCCACCCCCAGGGACCCTCCTTCTCCCCCCAGTGAGTGGGGCTCCCAGCGCCTGGAGGTGAGCCACGTGCACAAGGTGGAGTGTGTGATCCCATGGCTCAACGACGCCCTCGTCTTCTTCACTGTGTCCCTGCAGCTCTGCCAGCAGCTCAAGGATAAGGTGGGGTGGGGACTGTGGGGGGGGGGGCGGGCCTCTCTCTCAGACAGATGGGGCCAGCCAGATAGCAGGCTGCTAAGCCTTCTCATTTTGGAGGGATTCCAAGGACTCTTGTCACACTCCCAAAGCACCCCCAAATCTTAAGGTCCTTTGTACCTTCCACACACACCAGGCAGATGGGCCACAATGTGGCTGAGCAACAATACCCTCTCCCCCTGACACATTGCCCTTGAATGACCTTGAAATCTCACCTGGGTCAGAGGGTTCAGCAGGGGTGAAGCCCCCTACCACCTCCATTCACCATGTCCCCCCACCTCTCTCCCTCCCCAGATCTCCGTGTTCTCCAGCTACTGGAGCTACAGGCCTTTCTGAGCAGAGCACCCGAGAGCCTGACCCCCAGGGAAATGGCCCTTGTCCCCCTCACCCATCCCCCCAAGAATGCTGGCCAGAGCCAGAACCGGGCAGCCTGGGCTATTATTTATTTCCCTCTTCTCCCCATCCTGCCCATCACATTTGCACAGATGGAAATGAACACTGGAACCACTGAGAGACAGGGATGCTGACTTGCTTTTCATTTTGTAGGGGGTGGTCAGGAAGGTGGGGCGGGGGGGTCAGGAAGGCAGAGCCCAGAGGTGGCCCACATTCCAAACCCTGCCCTCCCTGCACAGTGGGAACCTTTGGACTCAGGGTGGCGCCAGGCCCAGGGCTCTCCTTCGCCCTCCTTTTTCTGCCTTCTGAGCTGCCCAGGATGGTACGTGCAGCGGCACGCCCCCCCTCCAGTGGAGGGTGAGGAGTGGATGGTGGCCCTAAGCTGTGAGTCAGGAGGGCAGACAGAAGCCATCCACCGCCAGCTGTGGTGCCCTTGAATGTGCTTGCTCCATATCCCTGACAAGGCCTCCAGGAAATAAAGATCATCTGACTTTACCTGGAGCGTCTGTCTGTCTGTCTGTCTGAGTGAAGACCAGGCTGGGGATCCCAAATAGTCAGGACCTGGGGGGGGTACCCAATGATGGAGCCCCTGGCCTCCCTGTCCCACCTTTGAGGGGGTCCTCAAGCCGCTAGGGGACTGAGTGGGCTGGGGACAAGGTTTCGGCCTGAGGGTTGGGCCCCTGAGCTGGAGCCCAGCTTCGCCTCCTGTGAGGGAGCAGGTGGGCATCCGGAGAAAGCAGTGAGCGCCCACACTGCCCACCCCTGACGGGAAGCTCGGAACACACTCCAGACTCAGGCTCTGGGCAAACAAGGCTTTGTTACTGTTGCCCAGCAGGACACAGGCGGGGGGGGCTGGTGGGCTCGCCGTGTTAAGGTTCCAGGGCCAAGTTATCCACTCCCCTGGGGTGTTCCTGCAAGAGAGGCTTCACTCGTGGGTGCCCTGCCGGCCCCTCCCCACAGGAGCCCCAACACCCTCCTCTCCCCAGGGCAGTTCCAGACTGTCCCTGACACCGGCCCAGCCCCGGGGGCCAGTGGGGTTCACCTGCTCGGGGCTCACCTGCTCGGGGCTCACCTTCTGGGGTCTGGAGGCGCGGCGACTGCAGGAGCTGTGGCAGCAGCAGTGGGTACAAACGAGCAGCATCAGGAGCAGCACGGTGCCTGGGGGTGGGACAGGTGCCCAGATATGGCCCTCGGCCAGGTCTAGGACAGGAGGTCAAGAGGGGCCGGGGGCCAAGGCCGCACTCACCGAGGAAAATGAGGAAGATGATGAAGGCAGCAGTGTCCCAGTTGGACTGGAACAGCTCATGGCTCCTCAGTTTCCCCAGCACTTCCTGGGCTGTGGTCTCCAGCTCTTTCTCCAGGTCTTCCGCCAAGTCCATCTCAGCTTGAGGCCTCTGGGTGCCACCTGCCCCGGCCCCCCAGGGGCTGCCTCAGAACCCTGTTCTCTGGAGCTGGGCTGCATCCAGGCCTCCCGCAGTCCAGCCCCTGCCCTGCCCCTGCCCCCCTCCCACGCCACCCCTCGGCCCCTGCCCTGTCCCTTCCCGCTCCCCCCGCCAGGTCCCCACCAGCCTCCGAGCTCCCCCAGCCAGGCAGGTCCCTGGTCCGGAGAACACCAACTACTTCCTGCTTCCGGATCCGCGAAAGTTGCCACCTGAGGCCCTTGCACCTTGGCAACCAGTCCCACCCTTCCCAGGGGGTGGCCAGACGCCGGAGGGCGGGGCCTGTGCCCAGCAGGTGTGCTTACAGCCTCCCGACAGCAGCAGGTGCTGCGGGACCCAGGGAGGTAGCCACGGCCCCCTAAGCCTCTTCATGGGCGGATTTTTCCCTTTCTCCCAGTAGACCAGATGAGCAGCCTGGAACACAGTGTGCCCTGGGCCTCTGCGGACCTCATGAATGAAGACAGGAGGGAGGGAAGAAGACAGTAGGAAGGGAAGGTGGGAGGGAGGGGCGGGAAACGTGGTTTCCATTCCTCCCTTTCCTGGGCAGGTGGGATTTTCCGGGCACTGTACTAGGAGTCTTCTGTATCCATGTTTGCTCTAATCCTCAGGATAATCCTTACGAGAAGATGATTATTCTCTCTCAAACAAGCTCTTCCCCCGGAACTTGGGGACCTGGGGCCCCGACGCTGGCCAGAAAGGCAGCTCTCACTCCTTGCCTTCAGCGCAGGCGCGTCCAGGCCCAACTGGGGGCCGGAGACTGCTCAGCACCGGAGGTTGGCCGTGAGCCAGGTGGACACAATTTCTGGTGCTTGTGGTGCTTGTGGTCTAGCAGGGGAGAACGCCTCAGCTAGTGTCAGGCTCCACACTGAACACCACACATCTACCACTGGGTGTGTCCTCGAGGCAACCCTCAAGTGGCTCTTACCATTCTCCCCACTTACAGGTATGAAAGGTGCCGCCTTGAGAAGTTTAGCAACCAGCTCAAGTCACACACCTAATGCACTCATTTCCTGTTTCTGCTATAACATACCACCACACACTTAGTGGCTTGAAACAATCCAAATTTATCGTCTTACGGTTCTGGAGGTCAGAGTCTAAAACAGGTAGGCAGGGCTGTGTTCCTTCTGAAGGCTCTAGGGGACAATCCGTTCCTTGCCTTTTCTAGCTTCTAGTGGCCACGCACATTCCTTTGTTCATCGCAGTCTCTGCTTCCATCCTGGTCTTCTCTGACCCTGACCCTCCTGGCCTCCCTCTCACGAGGACCCCTGGGATTACATTGGCCCACAGGATGATCTCACCATCAGAATCCTTAATGACATCTGCAAAGTCCCTTCTGCTGGGTAAGTTAACATATTTGTTCCAAGGTTCCAGGGATTAGGATGAAGACATCTTTGGGAGCCATGATTCTGCCAGCCGTACCCGGAGTGAGCAGAGAAGCAGAACTGGGACCCAGGCATTCAGATCCCAGAGCCCTTGACCAGCATATTCTAGGGTCTCCTGGGTCCCCTTCTTTTACCCTACAATCCCTCCGTCCCATTCCGAGATCTCAGATGCAGGGTCGTTTTGAAGCAACTGGAGTGTTATTGCCAAAGGAGGGGCGGGGCGTGCAGCCACTGTGGAAAACAATCAGGTACTGCCTCAGAAAGTCACACGTGGTGATATCAAACACACAGCTTTTCCACTCCGAGGTATAGACCCAAGAAAACTGAAAAGGTTCTCAAAGACTTGTGCACAACTCTTCAACAGTGGCACTGATCACAAGAGCCAAAAGGTGGAAACAGCCCAAGCGTCCATCAGCTGATGAACAGATAAAACACCCTGCGATCTGTCCATACTGTGGCACATTATTCAGCCATACAGAAGAATCAAGTACTAACAACTGCTACAATATGGATGCACCTCAAAAATATGGTGCTCAGTGAAAGAGGCCAGACACAAGAAGCCACATAGTGTGTCGTTGTGTTTCTGTGAAACATCCAGAATAGGCACATCCATAGACAAAGTAGTTAGTGGTAGCCAGGGGCTGGGGAAAGCGGGGGAAGGGGAGTCAGTGCTTAGTGCTGATGACATTTCCTTTGGGGTGATGAACATGTCTTGGAACAGGATAGGGGTGGTGGCATTACAACATTGTGAATGTACTCAATTCTGATCTGCCACTTATCTGCTCTCTTTAGAACGGATAACGGTGCGGGAGCCTGGGTGGCTCAGTCGACTGAGCATCTGACTTCTTGGTTTTGGCTCAGGTCATGATCTTGGGGTCCTGGCATTGAGCCCTGAGTTGGGCTCTGTGCTCAGCAGGGAATCTCCTTGAAGATTCTCTCACTCTGCTCCTCCTCCATCCCACTCTCTCTAATACATAAATCTTTTTAAAAAAGAATGGATAATGGTTGGGGCGCCTGGGTGGCTCAGTTGGTTGAGCGACTGCCTTCGGCTCAGGTCATGATCCTGGAGTGCCTGGATCGAGTCCCGCATGGGGCTTCCTGCTCGGCAGGGAGCCTGCTTCTCCCTCTGACCCTCCCCCCTCTCACATGCTCTCTCTCTCTCATTCTGTCTCAAATAAATAAATAAAATCTTTTTTTTTAAGATTTATTTATTTGAGAGAGCGAGAATGAGAGGGAGAGAGAGTACATGAAAGGGGGGAGGGTCAGAGGGAGAAGCAGGCTCCCTGCCGAGCAGGAAGCCCCATGCGGGACTCGATCCAGGCACTCCAGGATCATGACCTGAGCCGAAGGCAGTCGCTCAACCAACTGAGCCACCCAGGCGCCCTAAATAAAAATCTTTAAAAAAAAAAAAAAAAGAATGGATAATAGTTAATTTTATGTGAATTTTACCTCAATTTTACTTATTTACTTTATTTTATTTTTTTTTGAAGATTTTATTTATTTATTTGACAGAGAGAGACACAGCAAGAGAGGGAACACAAGCAGGGGGAGTGGGAGAGGAAGAAGGAGGCTTCCTGCCAAGCAGGGAGCCTGATGCAGGGCTCGATCCCAGGACCCTGGGATCATGACCTGAGCCGAAGGCAAACGCTTAACAACTGAGCCACCCAGGCGCCCCTACTTATTTATTTTTAAGTAGGTTCTACACCCAACATGGGGCTTGAACTCACAACCCCGAGACCAAGAGTTGCACATTCTACTGACTAAGCCAGCCAGGCACCCCTTTACCTCAATTCTAAAAAAGAGAGAAGCCCTAGGACACCTGGGTGACTCAGTTGGTTGAGCATTCGACTCTCGATTTCAACTCAGGTCATGATCTCAGGGTTGTGAGATCGAGCCCCAAAGCAGGCTCCACGCCCTGCTTCGGGCTCCGTGCTTAGCACAGTCTACTTGGGATTCTCTCTGCCCCTGCCCCCTCAAATAAATAACATCTTTTTAAAAAATGTTTTAAAAAGAGGGATAGGGGTCTCCAGCTGTGTCCCTTGTCCCCCCACCATTTGGCCTGGCTGGGTGTGTAGGAGGCCCTCTGTCTGCTCTTCTCCCCTCTGACCCTCAGCCTTCCTATCTAGACCCCTGGGTGTATTGTTTCTTGTTTTTCATGCCCATTATGAAAGTAAGACCTTCCCATGGTGGGGGTGGGGAGGTGAGACCTTCTCATTAAGGAAAATCTGTGACATTCCAAGCTGTTAAAATACAAAAACCATTAGAGCCCCCCAGACCTGAGCAGAGCAATGATGGGGAGGCTGTGGCAGGATGTATTTCAGGTGGATCAGACTCCCCACACTCGGATCCTGCTCCCAGCCCTTAATACCCACCAGTGTGTGACCTTGGGGCACAATCTCTGACCCTCTCTGCCTCAGTATCCTCTTCTGTAAAATGGGTGTATACATAGTATCCCCCTTCCCAGGTTAAGCTGAATGGAATAATCCCCATTAACACTTGCTTAGCCCTATGAGGTGCTCTAGAAACTCACACTAGTTGGCCGTGTATTACTCACCCAAATCGTGGGTGAGATTACCTCCAGTTTTCTGTTCTTTGTATACCTTTGGGCTGACCTGCCAGGCTCACACTGCTCAGATCATTTTAAGCTGGGCTTTTCCCAATCAACATGGCCAAGAGCGCCCAGCAAATAACTGCTGCTTTCTGCAAACCTGATCATCCTCCTTGCAATGCAAGTGGCCACCCACTGAGGCTTGCATCCCACCCCCAATTGTTCAGAATCCTACTCCACTCACGTGTGATGGTTTGGTGGGGGGGTATGTTTTCTCTGCAGAGCGGCTTATTTCCTTAGGGGACATTTCAGAAAGCTGAATCTCTTCCTGCTCAAGGCCAGTCCACAAGTCCCCACTACTGTTTGGTCATCACACCTAATGTTCTCATTCACTTTGACGAGGAGGCCAGTCTCCTGGATCTCTCAAGAGCTGTGGACTCTTGGCTTGAGAGATTTCTCTGCTGGAGATGAAACCATGTTCCAGGACAGGCTCTGCCCCAGTCCTCCTGCCACAGGCCCTGCCCAGCCCCACTCCCAGCCTGAGCCTCTGCCGTCAGATGTGTAGAAGGTGGGGGAGCAGAGGGCGAGCGTATAGAGGGACAGAAGGCTAGCTGGGGCTCAGGACAATAGAGGTGAGTGGATCGGGGCAGACTTGTGGGCAGAGCAGGGTCAGCAAGCCACCTCCCGCTTTTGTAAATAGTTTTATGGGCACACAGCCGCACCCTTTACCAGTCTGTGGCTGCTTTCTCACTCTGACAGCAGGGCTGAAGGGTAAGTGCAATAGAGATGTTTTGACTCACAAAGCTCAACATCTTTACTATCTGGGCTTTCAGAGAAAATGCCAACACCTGGAACCGGGGACTGCTTACGTGCCAGGAAACAGGTGAGAAAGAACTGAGTGAGACGGACTAGGTATAAGAAACATCTTATCAGGGACACATCAGGGAGGGATGAGGACTATGGCAAACTGGAGAGTTCATGGCCCAGCTAAAGAGGGCAGCTCATCAGCTGTGGGCTGGGCCCAGAATCTCCAGGGCTTACAATCTCTAACACGCACTGGAAATCTAGATGTTCCTGTGAACAAGAGAAGTGTTGGAGGGGCGCCTGGGTGGCTCAGTCGTTAAGCGTCTGCCTTCGGCCCAGGTCATGATCCTAGGGTCCTGGGATGGAGCCCCGCATCAGGCTCCCTGCTCAGCGGGGAGCCTGCTTCTCCCTCTCCCACTCCCCCTGCTTGTGTTCCCTCTCTCGCTGTGTCTCTCTCTGTCAAATAAATAAATAAAATCTTAAAAAAAAAAAAAAAGAGAGAAGCGTTAGAGGGTGAGCACATGAACTCAGATCCCACCGTGCCACTTCCTCACTAGGTGACCTTGAGCAACTGACTCAGACTCTCTCTGTAAACTGGAGGGAGTAACAGCACTGGCTTCACAGCGCTGGGATGATTTTTTTTTTTAAGATTTTATGTATTTATTTAATTGACAGAGTGAGAGACAGTGAGAGAGGGATGACAAGCAGGGGGAGCGGGAGAGGGAGAAGCAGGCCTCCCACCAAGCAGGGAGCACTGGGATGATTATTAAAC